GGAGTGTTGTTGTGCTTCAGTGGTGGAGTAACAGGACTGGGTTGGGATCTGTTGCCGTCGCACCGCGGAGACGGAACAGACCGGATCTGAAGGAGCATCCAGAATTTATTATCTAACCACCTCCTGCTCCTCCAATCGGGAAGATGACCACACATTACCCCAGGGAGGAGTTCACCTCCAAGGCCATGAACGGCGCAGAGAAGAAGCTGCCGCGGGTCAACATCAACCTGCAGGAGTCCATCGCCCACCTGCACCCGCTACAGAGGCAGCACGCCATCGAGCTCCACCGGCAGCAGCAGCAGCAGAAGCAGCAGCAGCAGCAGCCGAGCTGTCCGAAGGTCCAGGGGTCTCTGGCGACGTTCACCGCCCGCACGGTGCCGGCGTCCTTCCGAGCTCGCAGCCGTTTCCTCAACCTGCGGGACAGCGTCAAGAAAAGTCCGACCAAGAGTACCGCTAAAGTGGTCAACAGCAGCCACGCAGCGGGCAGGCCGGAAATACCCTGGGTGCCCTTCGCTTTCAGCAAGGTACTGCAACACTGAGGGCTCGTTTGAGGCCGGGACCCTCTGTGCTGGTGGTTTGGAGGGGAAGTGCTGATCGTAGCTCGGAGTACACGCAGCAGCGAGTCGGTACAAGAAAGTATTCAGGACAGAATATCTTTCTAAGTACTATAAGTTGGTGTTGAATGTCGTTTTCTTTGAGATCCTTCCAGGCTTTCATCAATATTTCGACAGTTGTCGACTCTATTTCTTATATTTAAAGTTAACGGCTGTTTAGCGTCTTTTCTTTAATCAAAGGGACGTTTAGAAAAACACGCCTGTGTTTTCAGTATTGTTGAAGAACCAACAATCCTGCACTCTCTTGATCACTCGTTTTATTTAAGTGAAGTCTGAGGACCCGTTGTAGATCAACTTTATGTTTATGTACTTGTATTGGTCCACAGTGCATTGTGGTTTTTTGGTTCTGTCAGTTTTTGATCTGCTGTACATCTCAGTAAGACCTCCAGGAGTGCAGGAACCTTGTAGTTTTTGTTCTAAAGCAGTTTGAAGAATGTGACTCGTGGGCACGAGAATAAAAAGTTGACCCCTGACGCTTGAGCTGCGTGTAGGTGACGGAGGAGCTCGGGGTCATTCTGCTTCATTGATAAATCGCATTCAGAGCTGGCTGCACTGTGTGTGTGTGTGTGTGTGTGTGTGTGTATTACAGTGTGTCCGTTTATGGGGAATCAATAGAGGCCGTCGATGTCGTGACATCTGTTGTGTCCCTGCAGCTGAAAACAGTCTTTCTGCTGCTGCATTTAAATTCTGCTTCATCCATCAAACTCTGTTGTGGCTTCTCATTCAGTCATGTTTTGATTATTTTTATGTATTGTTTTTTTTTATTATTTCAGTACAGTTTGCATGTTTAACGTCTTCAAATGTCTCGTTTAGTCCGACTAACAAAAAGAGATAATGCTGTCACTCCTCAATGCGTGACTTTGATCAATTATGCAGATGGTTGTTGATTGATCTGCTTGATTTATTTATTGAGTGACTGTTTCAGGAAGAGCAGAGGTTTGTTCTGGGCCTGGTCAGCCTCACTTGTGTCTCTCTCTTCATTCACCACGAGCTCGTTTATCATATCTCATCAGCACAAAGATCCCGTCGCTGCGGGAGCGCTCACTCCCAGCCGCCACTCTCGTTGGATTAAAACTCCGTCCTCTGTGTGTTGCTGCTTTTTTGTCACACCAGTTTGTATTCTTTGGGAGCAATTAAGCCCCATTGTCAGCAGTTTCCGAGCGGCGCTGCAGAACTAGGGCTGGCGGATCAATGTGGTCGATGTGCCGGGGCTAATTTTAGCGCCTGTTGGTTTCCACGGGCTCCCGAGTTCTGCTGCTGCAGCACAACAATTAAGCCTCTTCGAAAGAGAGCGGCGCTTCCTGCCAGCGGCTTCACGAGGTCCTGCCTTGCATAATAGAGGTCACAGTGTTGAAGGCCGCCTCACGCGCTCTTCTCTAAATTACTGTTTTACACGTAAGCCAGGTTTGGAAAGGTAGACGATCAGTCCTCACGTTTAAAGAGTTCGTGTAAGTCATGGAGGAGAAGGGACTTCTACGTTCACAGGTTGCATAAATTTACAAGTTGTGAGCAATTCAACCTCTTAACTTCTCAGTTTGACGGAGGTGATACGAAAAAAACGTACCTGGAAGCAGGTATAGGTACAACTTTTCCGCAGTGGAAAACCAAACAAAGGCGAGTCGAGACTTCATACCGTGTGTTCAGCAGCATGTGGAGGATGTTTTCACTATACATTTATTGCAGCCATGCATTCATTGTGAATTGTCCACATAAATTATTGAATATTTCTATATTGCATCATTCATCAAATTCATTGATTCAATATGTGATATATCTTTTTTCAGTTTATGAAAGTTTTATTCATCCAACTCTTTCTGTGTGTCGCCCAGTACGTGACTGTTGCAAGCTCCATCAGGAGGTAGAAACTTTAGTCATAAAAATGTCAGAGGTTTAACAGGCAGTGCGCTGCGTCTACAACAGCGCCACGTATCCGTAACACTTAGCCACAGCCTAGTCAGAGGACATAAAGCTGTTTCTGTGATGTGGAGACAGAGCTCAGGTAAAACGTTCTGAAACATAAATGTGTTAGATTAATAACTCGCTGCTCTGAAACTCTGGATCCAGTCTGGGTTGCTGCTTCTGCCTGTGTAAAATTAATAACAGCAGTTATAGAGGTCATGACCCTCAGGACAATGGGACACTACACACCTTAACATCACATTTATTTTAATTCATGTCTGCTGTCACAGCATTGATGGGCATATAAATTAATGAATTAATAAAGGATCATCTCCGTGGTCTAGGAATTTAAGATTGAATAGGACCCCTGGGATTATTCTGAAAGCTCCAGCACACCCTACTTGGCCCTAAATGATAACATGTAAATATAGAAGTGTTACATTAATAAGGAAGTTGAACACTAACTCTTAATTACTGAGATTGTAGCGGACGGCTAATTTGTTCCGCCATAGTTTCAACATGATGAAAATATTTTTCGACTCGAGACGGCCGCTTTTCTTTTGAGGACACAACATGGTTTGAGGTCAGTACGGTGACGTGAACTAAAGGTTTAGAACAGAGTGTTTCCTCTTCTTTCTGACAACATGGTCAAGCTAGCCGCTCCTAAGTTTGGAGGGCACTTGTATTCCAGCCTTTACGGTAAATGAAAGGTCACAGAGCAGCTTGACGGGCAGGTTAGAGAGTTTTCATTTTCTCTCTTTGCAAAGACAAGTGTTGCAGTTTGAGAGTCTGACCTGAAGAGACGCTGTGGAGTCTGAACTGCACATGACACGAGAACCGCACGCAATATTATTAATCAAACTGCGTTGGACTTTCTGCTTGGAGGACACGCGTCCGGTTTTTAAAATAAGGTGTTAACACAACATATAAACAGTTTAGAAATAAGATTGATTGGATTATATTCACAGGAAGTATAAAACATGTGTCCATTAAAAGTATAAAAATACTAACATGCTGGGAAATAATAATAATTTCTTCTTTGATTTTGGGTTTTAGTGTCATCACCTTTTATATTTAGACATTTGTCTTTATCATCAAACTGTCCACAGATCTCGCCTCTTAATTTTGCACCAGATTAATGCATTTAACTTTATAATAGACAAAATTTTCTTTTGGGGTAAAACCTCCGAGGTCCGGCCTACAGGGGGCGCTAACAGGACTGTTTAATGATCTCTGATTGTATTCAGGCTGATGTGGTAAGATGGTTCATCGGGGAGATGGATAACAGCGAGACACGGGGGCAATTTACTTAAACATGTTGACCTTTGACCTTCCGTGCTGTCTCTGGTGTGCGGATTGAAATATCTGCTGCTCTTCAATAATCACAAAAAGGACATCCGCCCCCTGCTGAGGGACGGGGGGGATTTAACACACACACACACACCAGGTCAGACAGCGTGGCTTTAATCTCCTCAGGGCAGCAGATGGGCCGAGTTTGTCGCATCAAGTGTCAGGTAGTCGGCCAATCGCAGAGCGTCTTCCTGTGATTGGCCGACCTCTCCGACACTCCTGTGTGTCAAGCTCCTCCCATCCGGCACCTGAACGTGAATAAAAACACCTGTCGGTTAAACGTGGACATGCACACATCCTCCATCCTCCTGCTGTTCATCTGTGCCGCTCTGTGTCTGTCTAACCTGTGACCCCCCCCACCCCCCCACCATGCCATTGTTCAGCAGGCCGAGACCAACCCGCCCTCCTCTCCCATAATCCCTGTGATCCCAGTCTCGCCAATCGCATCAGAGACCACCATCATCCCTCCGACGTCACAGGTTTTTCTTTTTTGTTGTTGTTGTTGTTTTTTATTTCCCTCCTCTTGTGTTTCTCTCTGCACCGTCTCCATGTTCAGATTTCTGTCTCTGCGTTTGTTTGGCTGCTCGTGTTTGTCGTCGTCTTTGTGTGCACTTTAGTTCCGTGTCTGCCGTCCAGCTGTGGCTCTGATGAAGTGAGCAGATTAGAGACAGAAACAGTGACTTTAAAGAGCCCATCTGGCTCCTCCCGGGGCAGAAACTGAGCGAGCGAGGCAGACGGGGAACAGAGTTAGAGAGGAGTGAGCGAGCTAGAGGTCGAATTTTAAACCTAGAAGAAGCAGCAGCAGAAGAGGGGACGGCGCCATCCTTCAGGACTTGATTTGTTTGATTCAGGCTTCATGCTTCAGCATTGCATCTTCTGCAGCGTGAAATGCCACCATGTACGTAGCGCTGCGTGCTCACTAATCTCTGCTCAAATCCTTCCTGTTTATCCTCAGCTGGTCTGCGGTGTCATGAGGAGAGTCGCTCTTTTAGTTGCTGCACGGCGGACAGCTTGGTTTCAGTCTGTGTTGTGTCTGCAGGGGTGGAGCTCTGTGGGAGGCTGCTCGGGGTATTTTTGGAGGGGCTGGATGTGTTGTGATGTTTCCTCTGACTCTGCGATGCGTCCTTCTCTCCTCAGGCCAATCCTCCCCCCGTGGTGGTCAACGCAGACAGCCTGGACACGCCTCCGTATGTGAGTTCACCCGCAAAGGAAATGTAACGTCTTATTGTTTGTGTTTGATATCGAGGGAAATATTCAGCTTAGTAGCCGCTTCATTAACCTGATAATCTCAAAGACTCAACAGGGCTCCTGTAGCACCGTGAAAATATGCTCTACCCTTCTGTTCGGTTCTGTAAATGACGCCTGCAGCACAAACAAAAAGGGCCCAAAACTTCATTATTTTACCACAAAACTCAAAGTGCTGATGTTTATAGACAAACTGCTGTGACGCTTAACTTCCAAAAAATGTAACATAATGTAAGTGCTCCGTGCTTTGAAGTAAATTTTACTAGTGGCCAAATAAGTGGCAGTAAAACGGTGGATTCTTACGGTTATGGTTCAGAAAAGCTCTGGCTGACGAACTGAAGCCATTTTCAGACGAGGAGGGCGAAATGGCAAAAATATCACGTCACGATTTATTTCAGGATCACGATCTTTAAAGGAGAAAAGTAGCACTACTTTATTAACTATATACAATACAGCCTAATGATTCATTTAAACAATTGTTCTTATAACATTTGAAAGACTTTAATATGCATTTTTTAATTTTCCCATGAAAGAACGTGCTGTTTGCTTCTGCATGTTTAAAAACACAAAGACAGGGAGGGACTTGTTGCAGATACGTTACAGTAACGTTGGCCAACAGCCTGACTGTACGTTACGCCCCCCCCATCCTGTTATGTAGACTGTGCGGACAGAGGCCAATTTTGACGAAGGGGGAATAAAGGACCGAGGTGGTTTTCTTGCCGGGTTTGACTCTTTGCACCCCGGGGCTGACTCGGCTAATACAGGACAGCTAGCAGCACAGCTAACTCTGTTACTCCCAACGTTTCGCCTCAGAGCCGGATCAAATCTGCCCCCCCCCCCTTTCCAGCTCCGCGCCCTTAAAGGCAGCGCAGCGAGCCGGCTGATTGGTTCAAATACTCCCGGAAAATAAGGCAGTATGAAAGCTCCTTGAGTTGTTCAAACTGTAGCAGGACACAGATTGATCTTGGAGCTCTTCCCCATCAACACAAGGTCCAAAGTCCTTTGAGGCGAAATGCTGATTTTACTTTAAGTCTATCAACTTTCAGATTTTATTTTGCAGCTAGTTTATAAAAATATACATAACAATCTTGAATAATATATATAAACATTATTATTTGTCTAATTCGTCACCTGCAGATTGATTAAATTGAATCTTTGTTAGTATTTTACTCTCCTTATTGAATCATACAAGATGTTTTTGTTTATCTGTAGGAGATGAGTTCAGTGTGTTGTTGTTGTGATAACAACATGTCAGCCGAATGACATGTTTCCTGCACGCCAAGTCATTTTCCTCGCCGTTGTTTGAGGAGGAGCTGAAGGACGGGTGGACGGGCCGAGTGTTTCCCGCCTCGTCCGGTCGTAAATCGTCTCCGTCTGTCCTTGTCGGGCTCGTTCCTGGCGTCGGACGTTCGGTCTAAATTAAATTGGCGACGGAGTCTGAACCGCCGCCTGGCCTCCGATTGGCTCTGAGAAGCCGGAGACGTTGGCTGCTGTCAGCGAGATCCTGCTTTATCTCTCTGCCAGCTTAATTTGCAGAAGAGCGAGATGTTAAGAAAATAAGAAAAGGGAGGTTTGAAAAAGCAGCTTACTTCCTGCGGCCGGCTCCGCTTTCACCACGTCAGACTTCAAGAGTCAAATCAGTTCATGCAGCACTGCGGCGAGCTTTCCTAAACTTCCCTCTGACACCTTACTCTTCTCTACTGCTTCATTCATCTGCCTCTCTTATGAACGAACGCGTTTGATGTAAAGGAGTAAATACATGTTTCTGTTACCAAATGTGAAGCCGTCACATATTAAAGGTCGTTACAATAATCCAACTAATCAGTGAGAATTGTTTTAGGAGGAACTGACGGCTGCTCACGTGTCAGAGGCCGCGCGCCTCTGAGGGTTAAGGACAGGCGCCCTTTTCCTGGAAAAACGCCTTAAATAAATAATGACTCTGGAGTAACTCCTCAATCATTTGGCCTAGATGCGTAATTCTGGTCTCCTTTGAAAGGAATATAAATCCTTTCTAAATTAACATATTTCCCATTAGACTAAATGGAGATGCAATAAAGAAAAAGGGATATTTTCATCCTTTCATCAAAACCATCATAAGATGGATTATAATGCACCTGAATATCTTCTAATACGCCTAAAATGCAATTCTAATTGTAAATTTGATAAAAAATAAACTAAAATACAACAGTTATCATACAATATTTTCAAAATATACCAGGCGAATGTCCATATTTTGGCAATATTTACTGTTTAAAAGTTGACTTTTATTGGTAGATATCTTTAAAACACTTGTACTGTCCATACATCCTATTTCCAAATGATAAAACATTGAAATATTGATAAACACAGTGAGTATTCATCAACATTCCTGTCACCAAAAGCGCTCCCACGCTTTACAGGCCTGTAGGTGGAGAACACATCCCACAGTGATCCGGCTTGAGCAGACCTTTCACTTGGTACCCTGCTGCATGTCTATATATCCCCAACGGGTCGGCCACAAAATGACAAAAAAGACGTGTGTTCCACAGCGGCACGTTTCCTCTGCAGGAAAAGACAACCGCAGCAGGCAGCTCCCAGGTATTGATCAATATGGCGCCCGCTGAGACTTGGAGCAACAAATGGACTTTGGACTTAAAACAGCGAAAAGTAAAACATTAAGTTAGTGGTTTTGACCACTATGCGATTTAATAAAAAAAAGCGACTCATTTAATCCAAGAAATCACTTAATTAAGGTGGGATAAGGATTTTTTTTTTTTTTCATAAATCCTGCATCATAAAATATGACAACATTGGAAGTTTTCTTCACAAAAGCTCAATAAATGACATTTGGAGCAACACTAAATGGGCTAACTGCAAATTAGACGCGCAGCATTATAGACAAAGACGTCTGTCAGCAGCAGCTCAGCTTTTACGTGAGCTTTTTGTCGCTCAGATGCATCATTCGCCGTGTAAAACGCTGAAATGACAGGACGTATGAAGAAAACACGTTACTCGAGTCTGGTAGTTGAGTTGTTGAATCATTTGCTTTTTGTGAACAGAATCCTTTTTTTTTTTTTTACTTGATCCAGATGTGGCAGTTTGGACTCTCAGCTGTCAAATAGTTTCATGGAATAAAATAACAAAATGTGCAGGTTACAAACGTCCTGATGAGAAAATGAGTTATTAAAGCGAGTAAACGGGTAATTAACTGGTGAATGTTCTGTGTGTGCAGGTGAACGGGACGGAGGCTGATTATGAGTACGAGGAGATCACGCTGGAGAGGGTAAGACGCCGAGCGGCCGTCCTGTTTGCTTCGAGTCACGGCCGCGTTGTTGGCGAGCGGCCTGCTCACATAAACGAGCGGCGGGTTGACCCGGCCCAGACTCCAGCCGGCTGCTCATTTCACTCTGACTCGCTGCTTTTATGGACTTCGACTTTACAGCTTTGAAACTCTGGTGACTTTACAAACTGTGTGTCAGACATCTGGGGAATCAGCCAAACACACATTGTCTTTTTAATGCAGCTGTGTTTTAATCCCAGACTCTTTTTTTTTTAGTTTGATTATCTTCAGTTATGTCGTCTTCTTTTTATCTTGTTGTCCTAATTCAGCTGTGCTTCTTCAAGTGCAAACGATGATCAGCGCTGCGTGAATAAAAAGCCTCTCTGCCAGCTGAGGCCCACAGAAACGACAGCGTCTCTGTCGGTGTGTCTGCAGGCTGAACGCGCCTCACGCTCATACGTTAGCGTCGACAGTGATTCAACCGCTGGAGCAGAGTTATGTCACAGCTCGCTAACAGAAAATCAGATCTTTCTTTTTTCTTTAATCAGAGTTTGACAGAACAAGTCTGGTGGTGGTGGTAGATGTTTTTCTTCTCGTCATTAAACCTCTTTCGGACTCGAGCAGCGAACGTATCTCTTCCTCTGTTGACTATTAATGGACGCACACGTGTGTCAGTACATTTGAAGTCACAGACAAAAACATGTACAATATGTTTTGTGTTTTTTTTTCTTTCTGCAGAATGAACATTTGACAAAATGTTTTTTCCGTCACTCAGCGCTCTGATAAAAAAGTAAATCCATCAATGTGGCTGTTTTCCAAACTGCTGTAGCTGTCAGATTCATTCCTCTGTGACTTCAGATGTCCTTTACCTGATACCTTCATAGACATGTTCCTTCATCTACTTTATTCTGACTCCCACAGACGGCGTCCTGCAGCCTTAAACACTCACTAGAGCACCGCAGCTCTTTGTTTTCCCGTCCATCAGCAACCCGTCGATTGTAATTCTCTTGAGATTGGGTTGTTTTTGTCGGCTCACTGCTGAAAGCGGTGTTTGTATGACCATGTCGTCGTTGTGTTGTGCGTCCAGGGGAACTCAGGACTGGGCTTCAGCATCGCGGGCGGCACAGACAACCCCCACATCGGTGAAGACCCCAGCATCTTCATCACCAAAGTGATACCTGGAGGAGCCGCTGCCCAGGACGGACGGCTCAGGTGAGACGCGCCTGTGAAGAGGTCAGCTGGGTGATGGTCTAGTTCCAGGATCAGGTTCAGGGTTTAGTAAGACGTTATTTTATCAGATAAGAACTGAATTTCTGTAACGTTGTTCAAAAGCAGCTGGTGTCTTTTACCCAGAACCCCCTGCAGCGTCTTGCTGCCTTTCACTATTTCATTTATAATGCAGCAGCCAGAGTCTGACGCACCTGATCCAGGTGGTCCTCCCTCGGTCTCAGGGTTGCCTCTATCATGAACCCTGTTTGTGGGTCTGTCAGTCGTCGGTGAGGCTCATGTGTCCGACTGAAAGAGTCGGACGGAAAGTTTAAATAAAAACACAAAGTTCAGAAACAAGAAGAAAAGTGAAAGTTCGGTTTTATTCACACATAAATTCACAGTGCAAGAAACTAGAGTCCAGATTTAAATCCAGCAGGGACCGTGTGCAAATAAAACTACAAACCACGCCGGTGTAGCTGGTGTTGGAGGATACGGCGTGTGAAACTCGAGCTGACGGTTACAAACAGTGCTGCGGCGTTACCGACGCAGTTAGACTGGGAGAACACGGGTTTTGGTTTTGGCCTCTGGACACAGACGCTGACCCCAAACCTGGTCTCAGTGTGACGGCCTGAGCTGCACACAGTGACGGCACTGCCTGCTGTGCGCCCTGAAACCGTTCCCCCTGAAAGCTCAAACACATTTTTATGTTTAGTTTTATATACAGGGGTTTACAGCTTTCGCCGAGATTCGCTGTTTTGAATCTGAAGTACAGCATTTATGTATTTTGTGTGTCCCATTCAATCGTCTAGACGAGCCGCATGATTATTATTTTACACCTATTCAAGTTAGCAGAGGGCTAAACACAAGGGAAGATAAAGCCCGCCGCTGACGAGTTGGCCCCCGAGTATTTAAACCAAAGAGATCCACGTGTCCCAACGTGTTTTCCTGTAAACTGACTGACCGGATCGCCACAGCCTCTGTTCTTCAGTCCTGTTTTTGATTTAGTTTGACACGATTGACAGCCTGGTGCGTCCTGCGTTTCAGGGTCAACGACGTCATCCTGAGAGTCAACGAGGTGGACGTCCGGGACGTGACCCACAGCCGGGCCGTGGAGGCTCTGAAGGAGGCCGGCTCGCTGGTCCGACTCTACGTCCGCCGGAGGAAACCCGTCTCTGAGAAAGTGATGGAGATCAAGCTGGTGAAAGGACCCAAAGGTAACGGAAGGGGTTAAACGGCGAGGTGGGATTTAAATTCTCCGTCAGCAGGTTGAGAAACTAAACGGCGTCCTGCAGCTCCTGCAGGAAGCAGCAGGAGCGTTCAGATGGATGTGTTGTTGGATCGTCTCTGCTTGCTGAGGAGCTTTAGTGAAATCCCTCAGGGCCTCATGATTATTCAGACAAGGAGCCGGGCTCAGGAACAAAGCCTCGGTTTCCACGGAAACATCCTGAAATATGCTTTTGTGCATTTATGCGTCCTGATTTGTGCCGGTGTTAAATTGGCAGCGGCGTGTTTCCGTGATCTCTTTTAAATCTTGGTGTGAAGTGCAGGCTGCTGCTGCCAGGCTCTGCACCGCTCTAACAGTCTCCCCCCCTCCCCCCTCTGGTCCCGGTCCTCGCTGTGTTCCAGGTCTGGGCTTCAGTATAGCAGGCGGAGTGGGGAACCAGCACATCCCGGGCGACAACAGCATCTACGTGACCAAGATCATCGAAGGAGGAACCGCACATAAAGACGGGAGGCTGCAGATCGGAGACAAACTGCTGGCTGTAAGAGCTACAGCTTTATCAGGAATATTGCAGTGTAGCTGCTAACCTGTCTCCTGCTCTGAAGACACGTTTATCCTTTTTCTGGGCTTAGTATGTAGAGTATTTAAAATATTTAAAAAATATATTTCCCCTGGGGTGGCCAAGAATGTTATCACCGTAAAATGTTTCTAATCAATTAGGGCTGCACCGAATGTTCGGCCACCGAGATTAATCGGCTAAAAACAGCAAAAACAGCACTTTCTGTGTTCGACCTGATGTGTCTAAAGACTGAACAAATTCTTCGACTTCTTAGAAAAGAAGTTTCTGTCTCTCGTCTGTGAGAATGAGATTAAACTAGCCGCTCCTACATTTGGAGTGCGCACGTATTCCAGCGGCGCAGGGCGAGCTGACGGGCAGGTTAGAGACTTTATCCTGTCAGAGCGGCTGTGAAGTCTTCATGTTACAACATTATTTATCAAACCGGGTCGGACCGGATGGATTTAGCGCGAGGAGGAAACACATGTGACAACGTCCGGTTTTCAAAATAAGGCGTCTGTACAGGATGGAAATAAGATTAACTGGATTATATTCACAGGAAGTATAAAACCTATATTACGTGTGTCCATTAAAAGTAAATGGACTCATGTGATTTACTTTACCGGACCCTCTCGGGCCCCAGACCCCCCACCATAGTCCTGCAGGAAACACTGAGGAAAAAGCTCATTTTGACTATTTAATTTATGCAATGGGGGAAAAATGTCAAAATAAGCGTGAAAGTACTTGTTCGGTGTTCAGCACGTTTTAAATTATATTTGGTTTTGGCTTCGAGTTTTCATGTCGGTGCATCCCTAAAATCAGTTGATCGGTTATTTTTAGGATAAATGTCAAATCATTATTTCTTTTGTTGAAAGGCTGATTTTTGTTAATTGTGGTGTTAAAGAAACAATTGATGCCAAACAGCAAATGTGAGGTAGAACAATTATTCAGAGAAATTAAGTGCAGATTCGTTTATAATTCAAATGAATTAAATCAAATTAAACTTTAGTTAGTAAGGAAAGTTATTATTGTTTTATTGCCCAGCCTTTTATTCCACTTTATGTTATTGGTAATTATTTCCTCAAAATTAACTCTATAACTAATTTAATGAATAATTGGCCACAATTTGCTGTTAGTAGTTTTACTTGCAGAAGACGTTTGTCATGCACAAATGAGACACCAAAAAATACAGCTGAAGCAGTGAAACCACATTATTGACATTGAACAGAAAATCACAAAGTTACAATTAAACAATTAAATAGCTCCGTATCCGTTTACAGTAAAACTTGATTTAACAGCAGAGTCCCAAACAGCCGCCTGCTGAGGAAACACATTATGACTAATAAATGCAGGTCTGGTTTTTATAGAAGGAAAAAGAAGTAATATTCTGTTTGAAATAAATAAACTCTTTCATAGTTGCCTATTTCAGTTTTCTGGGAGAGGAATTAAAGGCCTGTCCCAAAATATAGGCCGGGTCGATTCAGTGATTTTAGCAGATAAAATCTGAAACAGGACGCATGCCGGACTTACATTCAAGATAACTTTATGGTCACAGTAGAGTGAAATTACGTGGCATCCAGCTCACGGAGGAACTGAAAATTAGTGACAGAATTAAAAGTGAGGTGTTGGAACTGACAGAGAATGAAAAGGGTCTTTTTGAAGCGTGAATACATGTTGTTAAGCTTGTCTTTGCTCTCAGTAGATAAATGTTTGGCGTCTCCTCTCCGTGTGCAGGTGAACAGTGCTTGCCTGGAGGAGGTGAGCCACGAACACGCCGTCACCGCCTTGAAAAACACTCCGGACGTGGTCTACCTAAAAGTGGCTAAACCCAACAGTGTCTTCATGAACGACAGCTTCGCCCCGCCCGACCTCACCAACTGTGAGTGCTGCTCTTTATTTTCTCTGCACAAACACAGGGTCATTACCGACAGCTCGTCAGAACCACATTCAGTTACAGGGCTACTTCCATTATCCATCATTTTCACCATCAATCCTTTAGTTGTTTGGTCCAGAAAATGTTGACCGGTGACGTCCTCAAATGTCCTGTTTTGTCCACAACCCAATGATGTGCTGTTATCTGTCACAGAAGACAAAAGAAGCCAGGAAATGGACAGGGCTGTGCAGGACCGAGCGAGTTGTGTCTGAGAAACAGACTGTGGATCACGCGACATATTAGCCATATGACAGCTGTGCGTTTTCCTAATGTACCAATTATTCCTACTTCACTTGTGAATTCATCATTTCATTATGTAGATTAGGATTAAATGTTTTCTGTGTAGAAATAATTCAGTAGCCTAAATGATTTGGGGAAAATGGAAATGATAGTTTCTTCAAGTCCAAGTTATTTTGGAGAGAATTGAGTCGCTGTTAAAGCTCTTTAGTGGAGCACAAACCACCTGTGCTCCTCTATAGGAGGAAATCTAAACGAGCACAACTGCTTGTCGGTCCCTGTCTGGAGTCTTTTGAGGTTCATTTGACAATGAGTCCTGTCTCCGGTGTTTGCATGTGTGTAAGCGATGAAGACTTGATGGCGGACCAGATCACTTGATAGGCGTTCAAACTTCACAATGTGGAGAACACAAGATGCGATCCAGGAAGTCCAGTCTGAGGAACAGATGAATGGTTTTGAAGGTTTATGCTGCCGAACACTGGAGGACAATTCACCGATTCACCCTCCTGACTGTGGCGTTGGCGCTCCCGATCCGAGGATGATTATCTGTCCAAATGATGCTGTAGTGCGAGGGCTTCACAGACAGAATCTTAAGGTTGCTGACTGGATCGGGCAGCCTCTGGTCAGAAACCTGCAGCAGCCAATGAGGGCGAGATGAGCGGGAGTGTGGTGTCCTGGGATTATCAGACAATCATCACAAGTTAAACAGCAAAGACCTGTTCGTGGTACAACATACTCAACCAGGAACGCGGTCTTGCGTGTAGGTAATTGATGGATGTCATCACGTTGCTGTGCAGCAAAAGTTGAGCCACATTTAAACAGTAGATTTCCCTTCGTGATTGAGGGGGCTGTGTTGGTCCGGGTCAAACGCTGCATCCTGAAGCTCCCTCCTCTCCCCGGCCAAACAACAAAGGGAAGCCTGCGGTGAGGGGCTTCTTCTTCTTCTGGTTCAGATGTGACCTGGCTGACTTTCTGTCTTTGACCCTGAATTAGTGTTGAATTCCGCAGGACAGCAGAATGTCTCCCGGTGGCGTTCATCACACACCACGTCTCAAAGTTAATGCGACGCACCGCTCCTCTGAAACACACTCGGAGCACGGACCCCGGATCTGTTCCCAGCGACTCCCTCGGCGAACTAATGTGGAGACGCTGAAGGACAAAGTGATCCTGGACTGGTGAGGACAGGAGAGAGTGGTGAAGTGATCAGGTGATCAAACAGACTTCAGATATCTCCCCGTTACTTTCCCTCAACGACTCGACAGCGAGTTGGGAAGAGAACGGTTTTGCATAAACCAGAGACGTTTCATAGAGCAGACGCGCCACTCTATCACAGCAAAGATGGCGGTTATCCTGTCTAGAATCATATTTCAGCCAGTCGTGTGGTTCTACGGACGTAAGGGTCTGTTGTACTTCGACTACGCATGTGTGGAAGTGGTGACGCATGGTAGTAGAAGAACAACCGGTCGGGAAAAACTCTTTTGAAACCTTATTTTTGGCAAAATAGTTTTCAGCGATTTTGATTAGACTTTACTGCTGATTCTATTCATGTAGTTTTTAGATCCCGGCGACCAGTGAAAGTGCAGCTCTGGCTCTCTACACATTCAGATAGGAGCCCGGGGCCGTATTACAGAAACGTCCTAACCAGCTTGGTAACCATGGTAATAAGGGTTAGGGAGTGATGTAGGAAAAAGGCCGTTACAGATTATCAGTTCCTAAGTCGGTGTTCATTTCCTAATTTAAGATGGGAAAAGTGTTTTACAGAAGCATCCTGACTTAAATAAACTCTCCTAACTTTACTTTTCCACCAGCTAGTGTTTAATAACTCCTTTAATCCACATGGCCGCTCTTTGATTGCTTTTACAAAATCAACAAAATGTCAACAGGCAGAACGTATTAATTGATGCCTCTGATGACAAAACCCTCGTTAGTAGAAAGGCTGTAGGCGACGTAACGCCGGATAATGTCTCATTATGTCACATGCATGATGTACCAAAAGTAGCCCATCCTGATGCAAGTCTTTGATAGGAGATCGTTTAATTCAAGAAATGCATAAACATCATGACGTTAGCCCGCAGCCTTCATTAGATTATTATTTTTTCATTTGTAAATGGACGTATTTTCTTTTTAACAGCATCAACGCTCCGCTGGATGCCGGATATGCGGCGGTGACTGTGTCCGCTGTTTTAGCCCACTCTGTCTTTAATCTCTTTAATTAAGCGTTACGTTGATTTGGATTTCTCGACGGAGGTCACCAACACCTCTAAGGCATCTGAATTGTAGTTCAATGATAGTTGTTGTTCCTGCTCCATTTTTCAGTGCATGTTTCATTAAAAAAACGGCAAAAAGTGGTAACAGACCTAAAAGTTGATAACCGATGTTTGGTATTTAGGATTTCCTAACCTGAGATAAGATAAGATTTGAAAATCTTAGACTCTTCCTGTCTTAAGTTAAGACTTAAGATAAGAACTTTCTGTAATACGGCCCCTGGTCTTGTTGGTCCGAATCGGCTGCCTGGAGGCGTTGCCAAGATGGCGGCCGATTGGCATGACCTGCCTATAAGAACTTTGCATAAAGCGAGTGTGAACACGTTTCGGCGTCTGCAGCAGATCTTCAGTATGTGTTGCTTTAAATGAGATCAGAACAATCTCAACATAAAGTCTAAACCAAACTGAAGACAGAAGAAACAAGAGCCAGCTGTTGTACAAGCTGAAGAACAGTCTGAAGCTCTTGATGACGAAATATCTGAGGCTCAAGCGAGACTGATCCAGTTTGGTGACGTGAAGTCGTGCAGCATTTCCTTTTTCTAGTGATCAGGGTGATCTGATGGAGTGATTTATCATCCAGGATTGTTTTGATTGACATTGAGGCTGCAGACTTTAACTGTGAGATCAACTTTTCGGCGTGCTGCAGGAAGAAGGCAAAAACGTCGGGGTGTGTAGTCCTTCCGTTCGTCATTGGCGTCCTACCATCAGATCCCTTCGGACTCCGTGTTGTCATAGACCCTTTTCTCTAAAGAGCCCCCTGAGCTTCAGCGCTCGTCCTCGACCCCTCCTCTTCCTCTTCTCAATGACCCTCCTCATGTCTTAGCCTCTGCGTTATCACCCACCCTCCCCCACCCTGGTGGTGATGAGGTTGAGACGCGTGAAGGACGAGCAGCAAATCCAATCAGTGAGTGTCGGGCTGCATCACAAGCCTCAGCTGCTGTCACCGTGGTGATGTGGACTAACCCACACGGCAACATGTATAATGATGTCCTGCCACAGTGGACCGCTACGATCTGAGCTAGAGGTAATGGAGGAGAAGTAATTCTGTTCAGTGTGCTCTCTGACTCCGTCGTGGCGGCTTAGAAACACAAATGGGGGAAATAATTGTTGTAATGATGCAGCCGGCCGTCCCATCATCCTCAGCTCCAGCTACCGCGAGCACCAACAGGACATGTAGGATCAGATAACGGAGAGACTTAGTCCCTCCCTTCCTCTTCCGCCCCATGGGACCTTAATCAGGAAAAAATATTTATGGCAGTCAACGTTTAGATCTCGTTTGAAATGAGCCCAGTTTGTCAGGTTAAAAGATAATCTAGGTCAACAAAGTCTCAGTTAAAACAGTAAAGTAACATTTAGTTTAGTGTGAAACCGCTCAGTGAACTACATCTCTCGTCTCGCATAATATACGTCACCAACATATTAGCGCTGTAATGCTAAGCTAACATTCTTTGCTTGCTTTTTACTAGCTAGGTTGCTTAGCTATGTTCCACGCACAGATGTGTCTCACCTGATGTTTAATCCAACGACTCCTGGACCTTTCACCACATCATCTACACATGGAAGCTCTTTGACGTTAACTTCAGTGGCGTTAGCTTCAGTGACATTAGCTTCCAGTGATGTTAGCTTTAGTAACATTAGCTTCAGTGGCGTTAGCTTCAGTGACATTAGCTTCCAGTGATGTTAGCTTTAGTAACATTAGCTTCAGTGAGGTTAGCTTCAGAGACGTCTGCTTCAGTCACGATAGCCTCAGTCATGAAAGCTTCAGCAACGATAGCTTCACTAATGTTAGCCTCAGTGACGTTAGTTTCTGCGACCGCTTCAGCCACGATAGCTTCAGTGACATTAGCCTTAGTGACGTTAGCTTCACTAATGTTAGCTTCAGTGACGTTAGCTTCAGCAATGTGACCTTCAGTGACGTCAGCCTTAGTGACGTTAGCTTCACTAATGTTAGCTTCACTAATGTTAGCTTCAGTGACGTTAGCTTCAGCAATGTGACCTTCAGTGACGTTAGCCTTAGTGACGTTAGCTTCAGTGACGTTAGCTTTAGCCAGAATAGCGTCACTAATGTTAGCCTCAGCCACGATAGCTTCAGTAATGTTAGCTTCGGTGACGTTAGCCTTAGTGACGTTAGCTTCAGTGACGTTAGCTTTAGCCAGAATAGCGTCACTAATGTTAGCCTCAGCCACGATAGCTTCAGTGACATTAGCCTTAGTGACGTTAGCTTCACTAATGTTAGCTTCAGTGACGTTAGCTTCAGCAATGTGACCTTCAGTGACGTCAGCCTTAGTGACGTTAGCTTCACTAATGTTAGCTTCACTAATGTTAGCTTCAGTGACGTTAGCTTCAGCAATGTGACCTTCAGTGACGTTAGCCTTAGTGACGTTAGCTTCAGTGACGTTAGCTTTAGCCAGAATAGCGTCACTAATGTTAGCCTCAGCCACGATAGCTTCAGTAATGTTAGCTTCGGTGACGTTAGCCTTAGTGACGTTAGCTTCAGTGACGTTAGCTTTAGCCAGAATAGCGTCACTAATGTTAGCCTCAGCCACGATAGCTTCAGTAATGTTTGCTTCGGTGACGTTAGCCTTAGTGACGTTAGCCTTAGTGACGTTAGCTTCAGTGACGTTAGCCTTAGTGACGTTAGCTTCAGTGACGTTAGCCTTAGTGACGTTAGCTTCAGCCACGATACCTTCAGTGACATTAGCCTTAGTGACTTTAGCTTCACTAATGTTAGCTTCAGTGACATTAGCTTCAGCAATGTTACCTTCAGTGACGTTAGCCTTAGTGACGTTAGCTTCAGTGACGTTAGCTTTAGCCAGAATAGCGTCACTAATGTTAGCCTCAGCCACGATAGCTTCAGTAATGTTAGCTTCGGTGACGTTAGCCTTAGTGACGTTAGCTTCAGTGACGTTAGCTTTAGCCAGAATAGCGTCACTAATGTTAGCCTCAGCCACGATAGCTTCAGTAATGTTAGCTTCGGTGACGTTAGCCTTAGTGACGTTAGCTTCAGTGACGTTAGCTTTAGCCAGAATAGCATCACTAATGTTAGCCTCAGCCACGATAGCTTCAGTAATGTTAGCTTCAGTGAAATTAGCTTCAGTGACGTTAGCCTTAGTGACGTTAGCTTCAGTGACGTTAGCCTTAGTGACGTTAGCTTCAGCCACGATACCTTCAGTGACATTAGCCTTAGTGACGTTAGCTTCACTAATGTTAGCTTCAGTGACATTAGCTTCAGCAATGTTACCTTCAGTGACGTTAGCCTTAGTGACGTTAGCTTCAGTGACGTTAGCTTTAGCCAGAATAGCGTCACTAATGTTAGCCTCAGCCACGATAGCTTCAGTAATGTTAGCTTCGGTGACGTTAGCCTTAGTGACGGTAGCTTCAGCCACGATACCTTCAGTGACATTAGCCTTAGTGATGTTAGCTTCACTAATGTTAGCTTCAGTGACATTAGCCTTAGTGATGTTAGCTTCACTAATGTTAGCTTCAGTGACGTTAGCTTCAGCAATGTTACCTTCAGTGACGTTAGCCTTAGTGACGTTAGCTTCAGTGACGTTAGCTTTAACCAGAATAGCGTCACTAATGTTAGCCTCAGCCACGATAGCTTCAGTAATGTTAGCTTCATTGATGTTGGCTTCAGCGACGATAGCTTCAGCCACGATAGCTTCAGTAATGTTATCCTTAGTGACGTTAGCCTCAGTGATGTTAGCTTCAGTGAAATTAGCTTCAGTGACGTTAGCCTTAGTGACGTTAGCTTCAGTGACGTTAGCCTTAGTGACGTTAGCTTCAGCCACGATACCTTCAGTGACATTAGCCTTAGTGACGTTAGCTTCACTAATGTTAGCTTCAGTGACATTAGCTTCAGCAATGTTACCTTCAGTGACGTTAGCCTTAGTGACGTTAGCTTCAGTGACGTTAGCTTTAGCCAGAATAGCGTCACTAATGTTAGCCTCAGCCACGATAGCTTCAGTAATGTTAGCTTCGGTGACGTTAGCCTTAGTGACGGTAGCTTCAGCCACGATACCTTCAGTGACATTAGCCTTAGTGATGTTAGCTTCACTAATGTTAGCTTCAGTGACATTAGCCTTAGTGATGTTAGCTTCACTAATGTTAGCTTCAGTGACGTTAGCTTCAGCAATGTTACCTTCAGTGACGTTAGCCTTAGTGACGTTAGCTTCAGTGACGTTAGCTTTAACCAGAATAGCGTCACTAATGTTAGCCTCAGCCACGATAGCTTCAGTAATGTTAGCTTCATTGATGTTGGCTTCAGCGACGATAGCTTCAGCCACGATAGCTTCAGTAATGTTATCCTTAGTGACGTTAGCCTCAGTGATGTTAGCTTCAGTGACCGCTTCAGCGACGATAGCTTCAGTAATGTTAGCTTCAGCGACGTTAGTTTCAGTGACCGCTTCAGCCACGATAGCTTCAGTGACATTAGCCTTAGTGACGTTAGCTTCACTAATGTTAGCTTCAGCGACGTTAGTTTCAGCGACCGCTTCAGCCACGATAGCTTCAGTGACATTAGCCTTAGTGACGTTGGCTTCAGTGACGTTGGCTTCAGTGACGTTGGCTTCAGTGACGTTAGCTTCAGTGACGTTGGCTTCAGTGACGTTAGCTTCAGTGACGTTGGCTTCAGTGACGTTAGTTTCAGTGACTGTAGAAAACATATTTTGGACTCCTTCTGGAGGAGTCTTGTTTTGTAACTGTCGTGTCGATTAAAACGTTGGATATTTTTTATCATACATCTGCATTCTTGCCTCACTGGTTTATACAAATGTGCCCTATTGGAAGGTAGAGTCAGAAACTTCATCTCCTGCAAGAGCGGCCACCACAGTACCGTTAGCTTCAGTCAATGAAACAAACAGTTATGACATCACTTATGTGACTTTTGTGTGTGTGGCCTTTGTAATTACATATTTTCTGTCTTAAACTTCAACTGTTTTACAACAAACTGCGACTTCCTTGACTTGATTTATCTTTTAAAAGACAAACATCATGTGAGTAATTCAGGACAAATTCAAACGGGATCAAAACATTAGTTGACTACTGAAAAAAGGTCCCATGAAGAAGTGAAGACGTTCCACAGGAGGCAGTTGGAGTTTCCTGTCAGGTAAACATGTTTCTGTCGTCCTGCTGGGATCATGAACCTCAAACTCCAGATTTTAGGAAGTTAAAATACTTTTCTGGCTTTATGTTATTTTTATTCTCTTTTTATTATCTTTTGTTGTATGTAAACATCAACGGTCGGTGTGTTTACCCATCTTTACTGCAGACATTTAGCCCGTGGAAATTCCACCAGTAGTAACAGTGTTGTGATCAGACCCGGTCGAGTTTCACCTCTAGTTTAGTTACGACCCCCCACAGCAGCGGCGGCTTCGTCCAATCAGACGGTAACAGGACAGGTGAGTGTAGGAGATGTTCTGATGGAGAGAAACTGCAGGACCAGAGGCTGAAACTCAGTGTGTCAGGGAGGACGTGAACACGTTTTTATCACTGACAGATGCGTGTTTGTCGTTCACGTTCATCACAATGACTCTGTGTTCACAGCTGAGCGGGTTTAGTTTCCCGACCAACAACTTAAACCCTCTCTGTGTCTGTTTCAGCGTACTCCCAGCACATGGAGAACCATATCAGCCCCCCCAACTTCCTGGCTCAGACCCTCCCCCCGCCAGCGTCTTCGGGACGCTACTCCCCGACGCCGAAGAGCATGCTGGGAGAAGACGACGTCACACGGTGAGTCAGAGGCTCCTCAACCAATCAGTCTAGCAAATAACTAATTATTGCGTGATGAAACTGGTTGTTGTGGTTTCAGAATAAATGTACTTTAACAGAATAAAGCATTATTAACCTTTTAAACTCTGAGATAGAAATGGACCGCCAGTGCCTACAGTGTTTATTTTTGTTTATTGTGATGTCATTTCCTGGAGTATTGTCAGTTACTTCATATCTGTACAAGCTAAGCTAAAAGGTTAAGTAACTCAATTAACTTCAAGACTTGAGAAATGTGTTTAACTTGTGCCATAAATAAACATGAATACCATCAGAACAGATGGATCCTACAGAAGTAGAAACATTTATAGCTATTTGAACTATTTACCTTTTCTCAAGTGTTTGAGATTTATGTGAATCTGTTCTGAGCAGAGTGCAGGTCTCCCTCTCAGGTCATGTGCCTGATCCAGTAAGACATCAGCCTGCATGTTGTCATTAATGGTTAAATTCCTCTAAATTAGCAGGTTAATATTAGGTTGTGGTTTCTGTGGAGCAAGCACAGCTGCTCTGCCCTCTGCTGGTTTAAACCTGCAGTTACACTCAGGTTATCACTCCAGTTTATTACAGTTTTTATTTGTGAGGGATCAAATACAGCGGCATCAATCTCACATGAGGAGAAGAGATGCGTTGGAACAGATTTAGCTACTGGCTAATTTCTCCAGTCCCTGGGCAGGTCTACAAAAACACTAATACAAATACAAATCCTGGCCATTACTACGGAAATCTATACGTTTCCAAACTTTCAAACTCAGGGAGATGGTTCCAAAACAGACTTCCCACTGCTCCTGGAAGAACAGTTGACCAATTTACAGTCATGGAAAATGAGAGAAATGGTAAAATGTCCTGGAAAGTCTTGTGTTGTCCTGGAAATTTATTTTCACATTATGTAGTTTGTGGCTGTGGTTGGATAACATTAATAAAAGTGACCAAAACTCATTTTTTTATCCTCCAAAGGTAAATATTCGTCACTGTGGTGGTTTTTATTAAGTTTAAAGATTAATGTTTTCTTCTCAACTTGTTTTAAACAGTTATCTAACGTTAAATCTGTAAACAGTTCAGCTAAGTAAAGCGCTTTCCAAGCAAAGAACACAACGGGCTTTCCAACAGAAAGAAAAAATACAATATCAATACTTAAATCATATTAAACAGGGCAAGGTCAACTTGTCATATTTTCTACACATGTAATAGATGATTTCATGGATCAGTTCTAGCCTCAGACTGTCCTGGAAAAGTCCTGGAAAATTATCTCTAGGAAAGAGCAGGGACCCTGCAAAGAATTAAATGTCCTTAAAGGAAAAGGTAGGGTCTACTCTCTCCACCAGCAGGTCATGTGACTCTCTTATGGCCTCTTGTTCATCAGGTTTTATTCCACCTGTGAAAAGTGATTTCATGATCTGCTCTGCAGCAGGGAAAGTTTTCACAGTGACACAAACGTGATGCTTTCATCCGACTAATCTGGACCTGTTTATGATGTTTGTGAAGACGTCTGTCATCACATGACAGCACATGTGTTATTATATGTTATCTATTTAATGGCCATACTTATTTTACTGTCTGAGCAGAGTGAATGGAAACGCTTTCCTTTGAGAGAGATTACAGATTTCTTTGTGTGTAACATGCAGTGACAATAAAGGCATTCATCGAACTTCAGCCGGTACATCATCTCTGTCCTCTGAGGTCACATGACAGCAGGATGATTGACGGCTGTGTGTCTGAGGTCACATGACGGCAGGGTGATTGACGGCTATGTGTCTGAGGTCACATGACGGCAGGGTGATTGACGGCTATGTGTCTGAGGTCACATGACGGCAGGGTGATTGACGGCTATGTGTCTGAGGTCACATGACGGCAGGGTGATTGACGGCTGTGTGGTCCAACAGGGAGCCCAGGAAGGTGGTGCTGCACAGAGGAGCGACGGGACTGGGCTTCAACATCGTGGGCGGGGAGGACGGAGAGGGCATCTTCATCTCCTTCATCCTCGCTGGAGGACCGGCCGACCTCTGTGGGGAGCTGAGGAAAGGAGACAGACTCGTGTCCGTACGTACACACAAACATGAAACGCACACTGACGTAAAGATCCATGTTGGACACGGGTGGGAGCTTTCAGTCGGCGTCCATGGTCATCGTCTTATAGAGAACAGTATGATGTCAGCAGCTGGCTCTGTGGCGTTTAAACAGAATACATTTCTCCTTTTTAAAGATGGTGGCTAAATTAACTAGTGATGGTCCCAGATGTGTGCAGGTGGGAGAGGTGAGTCATCGTGCAGCCTGCAAACTACATCCAGAAGCTTATATCTACATGACGATACATTAGTGTTTTCCCTATATGCATTCAGGAGCGCCGCTGCTGAACTGTGACCGCCGCTTCTAAAATTTCCCCCAATCATTTTTATATCAAGGCGCTACAAAGTTTCACTCACACATGATGCGAGCACAGTAACACTCATCGCTCGGCTCGCTTCCTCTCCTCATTCTTCAGACATCTACGTGACAGGCGCCGTTATAACAGCAGCGTAACTCTGAATCAGGAGGCGCGTAGCGAGTGTTTGTGGTTTTGGGAAAGAAAGGACGGAGGTGACTGGAGGAGCTGAGGTTAGTGAAGCTAATTAGTGATGCAGACTAGTCCTTTAAGCCGATGAGGAGACGTTTCTGTTTGGATTTTAATGTGCAAATAAAATGCAGCTCAGAAGGGAGGAGATTTCTCATGTTGCCTATTTTTATATTAATGTCTACAGATAAAAGTCAGAAGCTGTAAAATGAAGACAAACAGTCAAACAATGATTCTGACCATGACTACTGTGACCACCACCGAAACATTCATCTAAAGCTCACAAAACACTGAAATGAAGCTGTTCTAATGTGCATCACATGCTCATGGACACAAGTGACGCTGCTGAGACGTGTTTTATATTCAGACACACTACGCGCACAAAAACAATTTCACTTCACCTCCGCTGCGACAACTCCAGGGGAAACACTGCGGTACGTAGATAAACAAAGTTATCGGAACGTATTTCCTTGTTTGCAGTCGATGGATCCTAAAATACTCCCAAACTTTAGACGGATGCAGCAACGCTTCGACATACTAACATAATCGATTAAGTCGACGAATCGCCCCAGCCCTAGTTGTTGTTATATGGCTATCCAGAGGGCGGAGGAGAATCACACATCCAACTCAAGGCAGATATCGGATTCAGAAATAAAGGAACAGGACGCTGGAAATCTCAAGAGAATAAATACCAGAGGTAACTTTAGAAGTGGCAGATGTGTTGATATCTGCATCAGGACGTCTCGTGGTTGTGATGATCGCCGCAGGCTCGCCGTCTGTTGCTGTTTGTCGCGGCTCAGAAACTGACAGAAAAGTTTGGTCTCCTCATGACCTGCAGAATAACCACACCGGATATGTTAGGATCCAATACAGCTAAGCACGATAGCAGATCAATAAATCCCTGCTGTCATTATCTTCGTTGCCATCTTATTTGTAAGGGAGCCTGGAGGGACAATTGAGCGAGGTTCCACTCTCCTTTGTTCGGGAGGGGTTTTATTTTCTGTGTGCTGTTAAAAGGAGAAGTATTAAATTGGTCATCACCTGTTTATTGTTTCCTTATATAGTTCGGTGTATTTTTAGCTGCTCTCTGTCTGTGCGCTGCTGTCTTCAGGTCAACGGGGTGGACCTCCGGAACGCCACTCACGAACAGGCCGCCGCCGCCCTGAAGAACGCCGGGCAGACGGTGACCATCATCGCCCACTACAGACCAGAGGGTGAGCCGCTTGGTTATTAGGATTATTAGGGTCGGAAGCTTCAGGCTCATACAGATATGTTTCCAGGATTGTTTCATGGATTGTTTGAGGGTCTGGTCCAGGTTCCCACGTGTCCTGGAAAAACCTGGAGTCATGAAAACAAGGACTTTGACTCTGAACTTTGCCTTCCTCTCCAGAGTACAGTCGGTTCGAGGCGAAGATCCACGACCTGAGGGAGCAGATGATGAACAGCAGCATCAGTTCTGGATCCGGATCTTTGCGGACGAGTCAGAAGAGGTCGCTGTACGTCAGGTGAGCAGAGCCGCCGGCGTGGCTAGGTGCTGACGAAGGGAGTCCAAAAATAACTTATTAATGTCATGATGCTTGTGTTTATGAAGTTTGAGACATTTTAAATAATTAAATCTTTAATTATACATGTTTCATTTAGCTAAATTAGCATCTTGTATAACTCTTCACATTAAAACTGCTTCACCAACCTGCATGAATCAAAGTTAAGAGAAATAAATATTTTTTTAACTATTTAAAAATATTAAATACGTAATTAATGAATGTAAGATAATTGAATTATTATTATAATAATGAATTATTATAATATGAGTTCAATGAATTACTTAAACTAAATTGATTGATAGTAACTTTGAGCTGCATGTATCAGGAATCAAACATTTTTTATTATGTAATGAATTTTTTCTAATTTTAATTAACACAAATATTTAGTCAGTTTAAATTCATTTTAAAAACATCAATCAAAGTGTACTGGAATAATAAATAAAACAGGGTTCACTTGCTGGCCTTTGTTTTCTCTTGGCCTTTGTGTGAGATGTGGTTATAGACGCTCTGGAAAACAATATTCTTGGAAAGTTTGTCACTTCCACTAGATTGTCTAATTAAGTTTTCTTCTGTTTAAAACTGACGAGGAGGTAACAAAGCCTCAACTTTAAGGTTAATTTAATGAACTGATCAGGTGTATGTTTGTCGCGCAGAGCGCTGTTTGACTACGATAAGACCAGAGACTCCGGGCTGCCCAGCCAGGGGCTCAACTTTAAGTTCGGAGACATCCTCCACGTGGTGAACGCCTCCGACGACGAGTGGTGGCAGGCCAGACAGCTGACGTCACAGGGGGAGGTGGAGGAGGTCGGAGTGATCCCCAGCAAGAGACGGTCAGTCGCACAAACTTAGTCTTGTGACTTGTGTGTGTTTTAAGTAACGTGTTGAAGGGCAAGTTCAGTATTTTAGAACCTGGACCTTATGTTCCCATGTGTTTGTGTCTATGTGACTAATTGGGACGACATTGTCTGAAAGCGGTCCAGGACTGAGCAAGCGCGCTGCAGTCGGCAGCAGCGAAACAGGGCTGCAACGTAATCCTCGAGGCTTGACGTTACTATGTCACCTTTACTGAAACTCAAACCCTGCTGACCTTTGACCTTCTTGTCCTCTTTGACCTCAGGGTTGAGAAGAAGGAGAGGGCGAGATTAAAGACGGTGAAGTTCAACGCGAAGTCTCGAGACAGAGGGGTGAGTGTTCTGCAGAAGCAGCAGTGTTTGTAGATATAATACAGGAAGTAACAACTTATCCGCGTTATTCCAAGTCACATGATACCTGAAGCATGGGCGCGACTTCCGGTTATTCCTTCCACTGAACTGGCTCCTTCACACCTTTGAATGAAGGAAGGAAAACATCCAGTACAATATTTGGTTACTTTATTATTTCCTTTGTCAGGCAATGAATAATCTGAAAAGCTTTGAGGCTTATTATAGGTACTTAATTAGTAATAAAGTTGGGCAGCATTATTTAGGATGGGTTAAAACCTTGACTATTGAAGTAGCCAGGTCAGATGTTTTGGTTTTGGGAAGCGATGGAATCGGCACCGTCCCTTTCTGTTTGTGGTTCGTGTTCTACAAGTCGTTGTTTATATTTACATTTAGTCATTTGCCAGACATTTCTATCCAAAGTGACTTACATTTTGAGGAACGACATACAAGAATCAACAAAGTGAGAGATCAACAAGTGACAATAGATACTAGTAAGAGCTGTTACCACAAACAGGATCAGTGAGGTTAATACCCAGGGAAAGAAGTAAGAGTTAACAAATACTGCAATCAAGACAAGACAATTAGATGAAGACAGAAGAAGAAGAGTGCAGGAAGTGCATGTTAGAGGTGTTATCAGAGGAAGAGTTTTCAGGAGCTTCTTGAAGTTAGAGAGGGACGCCCCTGCTCTGATGGTGTGCGGTAGCTCGTTCCACCATCGTGGTGTCACAGATGAAAATAGCCAGGACTGGGATTGCTTTGTGTGAAGGGACGGCAGAGCCAGGCGGCGTTCGTTGGAGGAGCGTAGCGGGCGAGAAGGAACGTAGGCTTGGATTATGTAGTTTAGGTAGATGGTGCAGACCCAGTAGTCACTCTGTATGCAGCATCAGTGACTTGAATCTGATTCTGGAGGTCACTGAGTAATGGAGTGACATGAATCCTTTTGGACTGATCAAAAACCAGACGTGCTGCTGCGTTCTGAACCACCGCACAAGCTGGAAGACCTGCTAGGAGGGCATTGCAATAGTCGAGGCGAGAGATAACTATGGCCTGTACCAGAAGCTGGGTGGTGTACTGAGTGAGGTAGGGCCTGACATTGTATAGAGCAAAGCGGCATGAGCGAGAGACAGCAGCAACATGGTCTGAAAAGGAGAGCAGGTCATCAATCATGACACCCAAGTTTCTCACCACCTTGGTTGGAGTGATGGTTGAGGAGTCAGTTTGTAGTTTGATGTTATGGTGGATAGATTGCTTGGCTGGAATGACCAAGAGTTCAGTCTTAGAGAGGTTTAGTTGAAGGTGGCGAGCCTTCATCCATGCAGATATGTCCGAGAGACGGTCTGTGATTCGTGCTGAGACGCTGGGGTTGTCTGGCGGGAAGGATAGGTTGTGTGTCGTCTGCATAGTGGAGGCAAGAGAAGCCGTGAATAAATTAATTTTAATTTAAAGTTTATACATTTTTGGATGATTGTTGGTGCAGCTACAAACAGACTGTAATATTTTAGCTGCCTCTAAGCTAACTTAGTTTATTACCTCAGTGGAAGGAATAACCAGAAGCCGTGTCCATAATTCACGCCAGATATCACGGGACTAGAAATAACGTGGACGTTTTTGTGGGGGGAATCTGTAATTTAGTCTTGTTTGAATCTAAACTCTCTCTAAGCTACATTTAAAACAACTTCTGCAGCGACATTTTTGCATGATTTTAGTCAGAATGTGTCAGACTGTGCAGATGAACTAACACGTGTGTTCGACTAATGTTTAAAAGCCGTTTAACAGCATGTTGTTGTTGTTGATCTTTGAGGAGTTTTCTGCTTCACCACTCAAACGTCTCAGCAGCCAAACCGCCTGGCGCCTCCCCAGCACCTTTTTAAACCGTGTGCCGCTTTAACACGTGTGGCCAGAACGCCCCGCCTGGCGCCGCCCGCCAACCCGCCCTCTAACACACCAGACTGACGGGAGGGGGGGAAGAAACCAACATGCATGACCCCCCCCTTCCTCCTCACACAGAGAGAAACGCTTGACATTGATGTCTGACTGTCTGCTGCTCACAGAAACCTTCCTCATCCTCACCACTCACCTCTCTCACCCCCCCCCCCCCCCCCTTCCTGCTGGATAACATTAAAGTGCGGCATGTCATGTAATGATGTCAGTAGTCCCGCCTCCTGCTGATGAGTAACCGCAGAGCAAAAGTTTAAAGCTCAGTAAAGCGTTGGTTTGTTTTTTCGTTGAGTTTAATGTAAAGCAGTCAATTTAAAGCTGCACTAACCAACATTTATTTTTAAGAACAGCAGGTCAAATGTCTCTGGTGGTTGTGGATCCACAGAGAATCACCTCTGCAGGCAGGTTCATCTTACTTTACAAGTCGTCCTCACATTTAGAAACAAACTCAGACAGGAGCTAATCAGAATAAAAAGTAGGTTTCCAGCAGCCGCTGTTTTCTGATTAACCCACCGTGCACCACCTGCCCAGCAGCAATCAGCAGTAAGAGACTGCTTTCTAAGACAGGAAGACTACTACTGAAGTGATTCCTAAACTCATGGCTGGGTCCGTCCTGTCTCGGACCTCGTATCGGATCTTAAAGGTCATTTCAGGACTTTTAAACCTGTGTTGGTGCAGAGTTAAGAATCCGTGCAGTAGATGCTTCAGCCGGCTGCAGCGTATTCCTTCATCAAAAGTCCACAGAAAGAGCTTCTTGTTCCCCTGACAGGCTCAGACTGTTACACCAGGTGTCTGACAACATCAAGTAAAGGATCCCTATGAGGGGGACTCCCAGTGACCCCCTTTGTTTTTAACAGGAAACTCTCGCTCTGAAATGTCAGGAGAGTTGTTGCAGGAAGACGCCGGTGGAAACGAGGAAGAGGAGTTTATTGCAAGACTTTCAGGGCTCAACAACAACGGCGGCCTGATGCCAGTAAAAAGTAACGTCGGGACAGTTGAATTAGCAACTCACAGAGCAAAAACATTAGTATTAAAGTAAATTAGAAACTCAACATCCTGCAGTTGTTTTGCAGCTCTTTCACCAACCCAGAGCTGTAGTGACGTGACAGCGGTTGTCAAATGTTATTTCTCTAATCTAAACCAAGCGGCGACCTCTGGGTCTGACAGTGAAACCATGCAGACGCAACTTAAACCTGTGTTCTCTCAAACGGCCAGCAGGGGGCTGCAGAAAGAAGAAAACTGTTTCTACTTCTCAGCTGATTTATTCCCTCAGTAAACACTTTCCTGATGAGTTTCTGGTCTCAGTCGCTAGTTTCAAGTCTTCTTCAACACAGCGTGATGTTCATTTAGTCAATTATGGTCCCATTTAGAGGAACAGAGACCAGGAAGCAGGGGAGGCTTTAGGGCGGGACTTCTTTGTGATTGACAGGTCGCTACCATGGCGTGCTCTTATTTTATATAATTTTAACTGTGCATTTTAGTTAGTTTTTTTAAAATATCCAGGATGTATTTAATAACCGATTAAAAAATGTTACATAACTTGGTTTTGTTACTGATAAATAACTTTTGGAGGGAGGGCCAGTAAGGGCCAGTAAGTTTCAAACCCACAGTTAACGTTGAGCCCTGACAGCAAACTCCGACTCACGTTGCTACCGTTTCTTTTTCCTGGAACTTAAATATCAAACATAACTCTTTAAGGATAAAGGCTGTTCATCCAAAACCTGCTTAGAATTATGATGTCGTCTGAAATTAGGACGCAACTCATTCACTTTGATTCATTTTTATGCCTGGTGAAAACACAACCTCCATGTGACCTTTGACCTCCGCTGTTAGACTGACGCGTGTCAGGTGATTTAGCAGAAACACGCGTTCTTCCTTCTGTTTGTGTGACGTCCTCTGAGTTTCATTGCCGATGAGCTCTGACAGGAAGTTTTCCAACACTAAGACACAGTCAGCTGACCGTCTCCCGTCAGCTCGTAGCCGCTGTGTCTCTGCATGTCCGTCTGCATGTTCAGTTTCTCCTCATCCTGCTTTGGTCTGACATCTGCTGCCTTCACTGTCACTGCGTTAAACTCAGCCTCCCAGACTCTGACGGGACCACGTCACTCAGAACAACGAGGACGCTCAAGGGCAGATTTACCTCTGGTGACGTGAGCTGCCACAGATATATTCTGAGTGGAGCCGAGTACGGTTCTTCAGGACAGGTGCAAATAAGCTGCCTGTGCTTTAGCTCAGAGACCAGAATGATAGTTTAAGATAGTAAAACTGTAAATAAATCAAAATCTCAGCTGAAACACCTGCTCTGTTTAACAGATGTTCTCATTCAGTTAGTAGTTCCTGCTTTGTGGCAGTAAAACTCAACACTTCCTGCAGATTTCAAATTAAAAGCCTGTTGAATGGAAGGGATGATGCTGTCACAGCTGTGTTAGTCGTGTTTTGGAGGCTTTGTTGACATCGTTTACTGGATTTATTATTATTATTATTATTATTTAGTTTCCAGTTCTAATGTTTACTTTCTGTTTAAGGAGTTTTAGTTTTGTTTAATTTGCCGGCCAGACAAACATCCTCTCATTCTGTCAGAACCGACATCAGACTCCCCCATCTCCCCCCTCTTCCTCCTCTTTTTTTTATATTCCATCACCCCTCCTCCTCCTCCTCCTCCTCCTCCTCTTCCTCCTCAGCAGTCTCTCAATGACAAGCGTAAAAAGAACCTCTTTTCCCGAAAGTTTCCGTTCTACAAGAGCAAAGAGGCGAGCGAGCAGGAGACCAGCGACGTCGACCGTAAGTACCGGCGCGACCGGGGAGGCGGGGGTTGGAGCGGTCTGTCTGAGAGACGGTTGATCGGCGACAGGAAGAGAGGTCAGCTGGTGGTGCTGGCTATGCGGCGGCATCAGGGCCTGGCTAAAACCAAACGCACAAATGCAAATGAAAAACTGCTCCACTGGGAATATTTGGCCGATCTCCTCCTCCTCCTTGGAGCCAAGATGGCCGCCCTGCAGCCCCGCCGGCCGGCTGCGTTCCCCCTGCTCTCTCTCTGTCGCTGAAACTCAGTAACTTTGTGTTTCTTCTTGTGGTTGTTTTTCTCCTCGTTGTTCACTCGGCTCTGCTGACCTCAGGACAACAGTGACGACATGGTACCCAAAGGCCACAGTAAGTGTGTCCCCCCCTCACCCCCCACCTGGATCCTTGTTCAGACTGATCAGTGTTTGTAGAATATAAACTTTTATAAGAGCCTTGTAGCTCTGTTGGAAACCCGTTTACAGGTAAACCAATGAAACACAGGAGTGAAAAGAACAAATGTATTGATGCTTAGTCAAATGTTTAGATTGAAAGTCCTGAGATTGACTTAACATCTTATTATTTTTAATGTAAAAGCTCAAGTTTGTTGCTCTGATTAATCTTCAGTACTGTTATTGTGTTTGAATAGAAGTGCGTTGACTTGAGGCCGTTATTTAGTTTAATTAAGTTGAGATTTAACTATTTTATTTAACGGTCAGTGGGATCAATCAGAAAAGCAGAAGAAAACTTTTGGGAAATTATAATTTTGTACAGCAGTTTTCAAAATGAGGTTTAAAAAAAAACTAATCCAAAGAATAAAATGAGCCATAAAGAAACAGGTAAATATTAAAATATCTTAACTATAAAGAGGGAACAAAATAAATCCAACAAAGCATCAAACCCCCTCCTTCCTTCCTTCCTTCCTTCTTCACCACCGACCGGTCGAGGATCCTCCATCTCTTCAGTCACGCACTCATCAGCTTTCACTCCTCCACCTCTCACAGCTCGCAGCGTTGAAGTTTTCTGTAGCACCTCGTGTCCACCAGGTGGCACCATCACACCCAGATCCACCTGGAGACTTCAGGAAGTAATCAGACGTGACTTTCAGGCTAGAAGCTGAAGCGATCTGTTTCTGAAATGAATAACAGTGAGCTTTACTCAGCTCAGTAAACTCAGATACACTCTGTGTTTATGTTTCCAATAGATGATATAAAGTATTGGAATATCATCTGAAATCCAACATGTCACCATATTTTAAAATCCATTTAATGATCTGTTCTGTGTGCAGCATGAAGGGCCCACAATGATAAACTACCCTGATATTTGATATTGGAAATTATTTGCAGGTTGTTCTCAGCCTGAAATCCTAAAAGCTTCTGAAAACTGTTGGACATTTCAACTCTTTGAGCCTTTGTGAGTTTCAGTGAAGAACAGAAGTATTTTTATTTTGTAAGGAATGATTTTCGCTGTAAAACATCATCAGTGTTTAAATGTTTGCAGGATAAAACTTGTTCATGAGTTGATTTAAGGTTGAATTTTAATGAATCATGTCCACAAACCAAAGGCTGTGCTGAGGAACAGAAGCTGCACAATGTTTTACTGTTCACTATTATTATTATTATGAACATTTGGCTCCACGTGAGGTAAAAAAACAAGAGAATCTTTTTTTCTTCTGGTTCGTATTTAGAGGAACTTCAGTGGACTCATCCTGTTTTGCATTTCATGTTGTTCTGTTTAAATGTCACTGCAGCGAACTGTTATCAGTTAATCTACCAGTTATTTTATAGATGAATTGTTTGGCTTCCCAGAACCCACGCTGACATTTTCAAATGTCTCGTTCAGACCAGAACAAAGATGTTTAGATGACGACGATGGAAGACAAAGAAAATATTCTCACTTATTGCTTAAAAAGTTACTTAATTGATTATGAAAATTGCAGCTAATTAATTTGAGCAGCTGAGCGTGAAGCGTCGTTGCAGACGTCAGGTTTACTGTTTCACCACATTTTACTGAATGCTCTTTCAAATGTGATTTTATTCATATCGGCCGGGCCTGTTTTCAGGAACACATTCACATAATGAAGCAGTGATTATATTCTGGTTGTAGTCATGGAACAGTTTTGGAAAGTTTTGGACTTTTCCCGTCTGTCCTGAACGTTTTATTCTGTGTTATATTTGTGTTGCTGTGACCTCGAGTCCTCTGTTTATATATATATATATGTATCCTGGCTCTGGAACAAAGCATCATGGGAAAGCGGTGCTCCCCGCTGACCCCGTGTGTCCTGTGTTTTGTTGTGATTCCAGAACACGTGACCTCTAACGCCAGCGATAGTGAAAGTAGCTACCGTAAGTGTGACACTCTGCCGTCGACGCTGCCTGCTCCGCTCGATGATTCGCAGGAAACACTAACAATCAGGCTGAACCTGCTAACCGCTAACCGCCCTCGCTGATGTCATTAATGAGCACCGACGGCTGATTGGCCAATAACAGCATGACCTCACACACGCACACACGGTCTGTCTCCCTGAGCGCTGCTGAACGTCTGTCCGGGCTGTTGTAAAGCTGCTGACTGCTGCATGGACTCTGCGTGGATGTGTGTGTTTGTAGAGTGAGTTTTCAAATGTGCTCGTTAATTATTTATAATTACTAAAAACAACACAGTGTTTTGCCCAAACTCCAGGGGGAAAAGTTGATGTTTGCCTGAAAGTGGAAACAGACGTGATGAATAAACGCTGACGGTCATGAGGAGTGACTTTGTGTGAAGATCTGAAAGCATGAGGAGGCTGTAACACATGAAACTGACGTGGTTTTAATGACGTCGCCTCGCCGTGATGGTTTAACGGCAGCTCCAGAAGTTCAGTGAAATTAGCTAGAATATTTAGGAAAAGTTCATTTTCTTCTCTAATTTAATTCAAAAAGTGAATCTGTAATAAATTCTAGATTCATTAGACATAAAGTAAAAATGTTTCAGGCCTTTTTGTTTTGTTTTAATCTTCATGATAACAGCTGATGGAAATCCGAAAATCCATATCTCAAAACATTAGAATAAAGAATGTAAAATGTCGACTTGAGAAGAGCTTTTCATCTCTCAGACCTTTGGATGGAAAATGTCCTTAAAACAGCTCATAATGATAAAACTGATTTGCCCATCTGTTAAGATAAACTTCATCTTCCTCTTGGATTGTCTGCTTGAATGTGGCCGGTAAACTCAGCAACCTCTAAAAGGCTGTTTCCAAGCTGCAGAGGCGTGATTCTCCCAATCACTGGGGGTTTGAACAGGCTCCCTCTGAGCGGCTGCTTCCCACCTCCAGACTTCCTGCTAACATCGAGCCGCGTCTCTTTTGTCCTGATTCTGTAAAGGAGACATGAACGCACCTTTTTATTTTCAACCAGCTGCCGTCAGCTTAGAGTTTCTGCAGCTGTCGCTGTTTCTCTGATGAAAGAAACCAGCTTTGGTTAACAAACAGAAACACAGTGATGATGTTTTACATGAACTCAGGAATCACTCACCATAAACTAACCAGACCTCATCACATCCTCTCGGCCTCCATCCCTCCCTCTGATGCCTTCAGGTGAACTCCTGTTACTGCTGCTGACCGTCCTGTTTGTGTTTGCAGGTGGGCAGGAGGAGTATGTTCTGTCGTACGAGCCCGTCAGTCAGCAGGAAGGTGAGAGCGAACTTTATCTCATTTATCTCTTCTGACGCTCTAAAACTGCTCAGAGTGACTCACAGGTTTAGTAAAGTACTGCGTCTGTTCACGTGAGGTGGAAATACGTTTATATTCTCCAGTTAAAACCAAAAGGAAACCTGATTTTTAAAGGTGGACTCGGATGTTTGTACGCTTTGAAACAGCGTTTATAAAGACAAACTGGTCCACAGACGGAGGGATAAAGGAAGTCAACATTATAAGTCGAGATATTTTAAAAGAAGTAAATCAAAATTATATTAATATAATTTGTTGTAGTTAATGTTGAATACAAAATAAAACTTGTAATAAAATATAAAAGGAGAATAAAATCCTGTTTGTTCTGAGTTTTACCTTAAAATCACTTCCTGTCTCCGTCCTCTCTGACAGTGAACTACACCCGTCCCGTCATCATCCTCGGCCCCATGAAGGATCGGATCAACGACGACCTGATCTCAGAGTTCCCCGACAAATTTGGCTCCTGCGTCCCCCGTAAGTCCCTTCAGACGTAGGACCCAGTTCAAAGCGATGACGGCATGTTGGGTCGTGTTCTCGGTCAGGTATCTGACGATCTCTCTGATCAGGACCTCGTTCTTGTTCCCCCTCTCTCAGATACGACCCGGCCGAAGCGGGACTACGAGGTGGACGGCAGAGATTATCACTTTGTGGTGTCCAGAGAGCAGATGGAGAAGGACATCCAGGACCACAGGTTCATCGAGGCGGGCCAGTACAACAACCACCTGTATGGAACCAGCGTACAGTCGGTCCGAGAGGTGGCCGAGAAGGTACCGACCCTGCTGACGGTTTCCACCGCAGGAACTTCAGCTGCACCTCAGCCAGAGACCAGATTTGGTTCAAACACACGTCTCGATGCTGCTGCAGATAGTGTCCGGTGTTCAGTCCCACAGAGAGACAAAGCACAGAGTGATGCTGCTGCTTGTGTTTACTGAACAGAGACCCGGAGATCCTGTCTGCTGTCGACGACCTGCTGGGTTTAGAAGATAACCCCCATAAAACTACCACCTCTCTCTTTTTACACCGGTTAAATAGTTAACAGTTAGTTAGCAGAAATGCGGGGCTCTCGTCCGCTGAAGTCTTTATTTCACTTCCAGTATTTTGCCTTAATTACATCATTTGTGACGGAGACATTTTGTAAAACAAAGGTCGTGCGCACAGAAAATATCCAGGAGGTTCCGAGGTTAATGTTTGACCAATCAGTGACATTCAGCCCTCCAAACCCCGCCCCTGAGGAGCTAAATGTGGCCCCTGGTTCCTCTGCTGGAAACACAGGTCAGGTTCTGGAGTTCCTGAAACGGCTCCTGGGTTCCTGCGGTGAAAACAAGCGACTAGTTCCTGTTTGGCTCCTGGTTTAGTTCCTTCAGTATCTGAAACTATTTGATCTAAAAGGGACGAGACACAAGGACTCAGAGGAAACAGAAAACCATTAGTTCAGAAACTCATTGTCTGAATTAACAGAAATGTTCTTCTTCTGTGGTTCTCAGGGTAAACACTGCATCCTGGACGTGTCGGGGAACGCCATCAAGAGACTGCAGCTGGCTCAGCTTCACCCCATCGCCATCTTCATCAAACCCAAATCTGTGGAGAACATCATGTGAGTCAAACAGCAGGAGCTTTGTGCTTTTCTTCGTTGGTGTTTTATTACTCTGCTGCTGGCGCTAAACTGGGAGGAGTAAAGGTGGCGTGACCTCGGTGTGATCTTTGGTCCCGCAGGGAGATGAACAAGCGTCTGACGGAGGAGCAGGGCAGGAAAACCTTCGACAGAGCCACCAAGCTGGAGCAGGAGTTCACCGAGCATTTCACAGGTGAGACGGCGCCCCCTGCAGCCCACAGAGCTCGTGTACGGACACCAAACAGAACCTTGTGTCCCCATCATAAAAATTAAAAATTACTCTTTAAGGTTGGAGAAAAATTCTCTTTAAAACTAGATGATCACCTTCTTTCATCGTTAACTCTGGGTTGTTTGTGGTCCTTTCAGCCATCGTTCAGGGCGACACTCTGGAGGAGATCTACGATCAGGTGAAGCAGATCATCGAGGAGCAGTCGGGTCCGTTCATCTGGGTCCAGTCCAAGGAGAAGTTATGAGGATCAAAACGCTGTCCGCTCCATCGCTCCTCTCTTTAGATTCACTTTGTTTTATTTTGAAAAGTCGACCTGCAGACGGCAGCCTTACCCCCCCACCCTCCCTGATCTATGTCTCGACACAGCGGCTGACCAGAGTGATGTTTTCTTTTCTATTTTTTTGCCTGATAAGACTCCATGTTGGGTTTCCTGACCAGCAGAGTAAAGCACACAGGAAGTCTGCCGACACCACACTCGACACGGTACAGCTCCTTAATGTTTAAGGGAGGAGAACTAACCAGGACGGGAAGAAGACGAGTCCACCAAAGTGGCGAGAAGACACGTACGATTTTATCTTTAGTTTGTTTTTGTTTTGTGGGTTTTTCTCCCTTTTTTTTGGTCTTGTAAGGTGAGCGGCGACGGACGGACGGAGTTTCAGTCTCAGGCAGCGTCTGTCGGTCCGGAGGAAGGCGGTGACACAAAAAAGCAAAACTTTGCACGTTTGAGCTTTAACAGCATGTCATTTAATACCCCATTTATTTCCCATCAGCCCTTTCACCTCAGCGTCTGACGTCACAGCTTTTCTTCTTCTGTTCTGCTCATTTGATCACTTTTACTCTTTTTTTTTTGTACACGAGTCGTTTAGTTTAACTCTTTCTGCTCCTCGCTGCTGCAGGACGTTTGTCGGGACGCTCTGCAGGGTTCCTGCTCTGCTGCTAGGGGGCGCTGTGGGGCTTCACACTGACGTCTGGGTGTTTTTAAAGATTACATTTCAGCTTGTTTTCAGTTCATTCATTTAGATTTTAGACATTTAGCTTTACCCCCATTTGAAGAGGTCAGAGGTCACGGCATCGTAATTCTACCTACACTGAAAAACATCTATAGCCTATAACCTCCTCAAGTCGTTCTGTCTGTAAACGAGTCAGTTTCTTTAAAAAAAAAAACAAAACAAAAGGAGAATATTTCACAATATTGTTTTACTCAAGAAAGAGGAGAACAAGAGAGAGTTTTGCGCTCGTCAAGAGAAATAAACGCGTTTTTCAGAAGGACTCTGTATTCACCAAAGACAAAGAAAGACTGGAGACATTTACCACAAATTTATTGTCTTAAGAAAACATGATAATGAGAAACCTTTCCTGATAGCAAAAAAATCATAATTAAAGTAAAAGTAAAGAATATTGTCTATCAAGAGATTGTTTTCTTGAAGTAATGAAATACAATTATATGAATACATAAAGAAGTACAAAAATATTTATTATTAAGAGATAACAAATGTTATAATTAGAAGTAAGACATAATAGGAAAAGTATCTTATAATCACAAGCAAACCAAAAATTACTGAGAAAAAAGTGATTTTTTCATATTTACGGAAAAATTTGATATGTGAAAATGCATAATGACAAGAAAAGTGTATATGTGTGAGAAAAGTTGAAGTTTTCTTGTAATTATAACATTGTTTTTGTGTAATGATAAGTAAATATCTGAGTAAACATTTACATAAATATTTTTAATTTATAGAAAACAACTTTATAATCAGAATAAAGTAATAACAGGAAAAGTATGTTATCACAAGCAAACCAAAAGTTACAGAGAAATATAGGTTATTTATTTCATAATCACAAAAAAATGTGAGAAAACTGGCAGTTTTCTTGTAATTATAAAAATTTTCTTCTCTCTCATGACATAACGATTTTATCTCGTAATTATAAAAAATCATTGAAAAAATTCCAAATGTTTAAGTTTGAAAGACAGATCGACCTGCTGAGACCAGATGTTTTTACAGATCAGCTGATTTTAAACAGATTTTATCATCATCAGTGTGTTTGGGGTCGTGTGGTTCGGAGCGGCGCCCTCTACGCCGCGAGTTCGAACCCACCAGACGTCCGTTAGTGTCTTACCATTAAAAGCGATGTCGATCATGCGACGTGAGTCGTGAACCTGCAGACGAGCGGCCGCCTCCAGGTGTCCGCAGGTGTGTCCCGAACACGCAGACGGTTATTGTACAATGAGATTTTGACAGATATTTAACCCTCGGTAAACTGCCTATTTTGTTATAATAAAAGTCTATATTGAACTTTACTTAAGCACTACTACTACGGGAATTATTTTCTTTGCATTGTTAATCATATATGAATAGAAAAGTATAAAGATATTTGAATATATATTTTTCTTTTTCTTTGATCACCACCTCCTCTGTCTTTTAATTTTCTTTTTTAAGCATAATAAAAACTTAACAAGAAAACAGGAAGTGGTGCAGTGCTCTCTTCTTCTTCTTCTTCTTCAGATGTTTAATCCTGACGTTCCTTTTAGGATGTTATGACCGATAACACAGATTTAATCTTCCACATTAATCCAGTAACTCCAGTACATCGTGCTGCTGTTTCAGGTTTCTTTATATAAAATGGTAAATGTTCAGGAGCTGTTCAGTGTGTTGCCCAAGGACCCTTCAACATGAGGACGTGAGGAGCTGGGACTCAATGTTAATCTGGATACTTTATATTAAGGTGATAAGTCATGTGACTAATTGATGGACTCTATCAGCAGGAAACAGTTATCACAAGGTTGATGGTTTAACACAAACGTTAATGTATAAAATAGTTTCAGCCTCCATTTTTTGTGTATCTCCTGCTCATAAACATGTTTTTAGTTTCCAGAATCATTAATCATATTTGAGTCCTCCATGCACGCCAATGTTAGTCATGGAGTCCCACAAGGATCTGTGCTCGGACCAATCCTGTTCACCTTATATCTGCTTCCTTTAGGCAATATTATCAAGAAACACTCCATAAACCTTTATCATTATGCAGATGATACTCAGTTATATCTATCGATCAAGCCAGATGAAACTAATCAGTTAGCTACACACCAAATATGCCTTCAGGATGTTAAAACCTGGATGACCTGTAATTTTCTAATGTTAAACTAAGTTATTGTTCTAGGGCCCAAGGACGCATTATCTAAAGATATAGTTTCTCTGGATGGCATCGCCCTGGCCTCCAGCACCACTGTGAGGAATCTCTGAGTTATCTTTGATCAGGACATGTCGTTTAAGTCTCACATTAAACAAATTTCAAGGAATGTCTTTTTTCACCTACGTGATATTGCAAAAATCAGGAACATCCTGTCTAAAAATGATGCAGAAAAACTAGTCCACACATTTGTTACTACTAGCCTGGATTATTGCAATTCCTTATCATCAAGAATCAAGTCCCATAAGAGTCTCCAGCTGATCCAGAATGCTGCAGCACGTGTTCAGACAAAAACCAGGACAAAAGATTATATTTCCTCTGTTCTAGCTACATTTAAAATCTTACCAAGAGAAATATTTCAATGTAAAATCTTAAGTAAACGTAGAAATGTTACAGTGTATATATCTTACTGAAGTAGAAGTAGAAATACTACAGTTTAATACTTCATTACAGCCAACTGAATATCCACACAGTAATACAGACGGTAAAGGTAGTAGTGGTGCAGACTGAAAATAAATAATTGATACAATTATTATTATTACTAGTTCTATAAATATCAGTACAAAGGGAGTCGAGTAGGAACATGTTAGCAGCAGGATTAATTTGTCGTATAATGGAAGTAGCATTTAGTTTAAAATAATTTGTATAAATGATAATAGAGTATGTAGTATAATAGAAGTAGTAAGTAGGATAGATGAGTATGTTGTGTAATAGAATGAGTATGTAGTATAATAACAGTACAATAGAAGTATTATGAGGTATAATATATCTGAAGTTTCTCGTCCAGTTCATAGTTTTCCAAGGAAGGATAAAATCACAAGCCAATTGGACTTTGTTGAAGATACTTGATACTGGTTCGTTAGTGCTCCTGGTGTCTTCACCTGAGGCCAAGAGGTTACGTTTGTTTATTTCCTATGAAGTGCTGAAAGTACAGCATTGTAAATGGTGGTTTAGGCCCCCTCCTCTGTTCAGAGACGGTTTCTCCACCCCTGTGTAAATGGCTTCCTTGACACCTCTTTCAAAAGATCGTCCTCCCCTTCTTAAATGTGCACCTGGTGGTCCTCAAACGAGTGTCCTCTGTCCTTCAGGTGTAAGTAAACTGCTGAGTCTTGACCTGAGGAGTTTGTGTAGTGGTTGTTTAGTTTCCCCAACGTACAGGTCTGTGCATTCCTCACTGCATTGGACCGCATACACTAGATTGCTTTTCATGTGTTTGGGTATGTGGTCTTTGGGGTGGACCAGTATCTGTCTATGACAACTAGCTTGTGTTCCAGTGGGTGGTTGGAATCAAAAAGTAGGTATTGGTCCATGTTTGTGGGTTTCCTGTAAACTGTTGTGGACATCTTCTCGTGTGAACTTGATGTTACTGTCCACAGAGTCGATGTGTTCTGTGAAGGTATGCACTTCCTGGGTTTTAATTTTGACACGTGTCATCCACATACCTGTACCAGTGGCTCGGTGCTGTTCCTCTGAAGGAGTTCAGGGCTTTGTTCTCCACCTTCCATGTAGATGTTAGGCACAATAGGTGATACTGGTGAGCCCATGGCACAGTCATACAGTACAGAATACAAAATTGGTATGTAGTATAATATCATTAAAATGTAGTATAATAGAATTATTGGAGCATAATATTAGTATGTAGTGTGTATTTGGGAGTACTGCTGCTCTCTAGTGGCTACAACAATGCACTGCTTCACTTATGAGGCCTTTTACTGCCGCTGCTGCTTCAGCTCCTGTTACCAAGCCCTTCCTGAAATACCTCAACAACTATTGGATGGATTGTGATGAAATGTGTTTCTGTTTCCGGCTCTGACAAAGAAGCCTTTAGTCATGTTTGTATGAGGACTTGTTGGCTCTCATCAACACCAAGTGTAAACTGTAAAGTTCACCTTTGATGGCTAAAATCCCCATAAATAAAGCCCATGGACGTGACCTCCAGGTGGGTCGTCATTGTTGGTCTCTGGGCTCAGTTCAACTCTGTGTGGGTGGAGGGCTCAGTGGAAAAAAGGCTTCCAGACAACAAGAGAAAAGACAAACAGCTACAGAGAGGGAGAGGAGTTGATGAGTGTGTACAGCAGCAGATATGAATCTGTTCTCAGTGGTTATTAGGACTCATAAAAAAAAACTGTTGACAGCCAATCAGCACTTCCTTTCCTGCAGCAGTGTGGGTTTCTGCTCTGCAGCCTCCTCACCGCTAGCTGCACTTTTTCACATTAATAACACAATGACAGTTACAACCGTCAAATCATTCTAGGAAGTTCAGTTTGATTTCAGCGCTCAGTACTCACTGTCTCAGTTTTGATCTGTTATTAATCTGTGAGAGAAACAGCTCAAATCCTGAACTCAGAGCTGAGAAGCTGAAATAAAAGGAGATATGTTCAACCACCTGCAGTCTGCTCTGATCCCACTTTATGACCTCACACTGATTCTAACAGGTAGTCAGACAGCAGAGTGTTCACATGGGAATAATAACTAAACAACGTTTCAAAACGGCAGCAGGCAAAATAAAAAGTTAAGCAGCATTTTATTGGTTTAGAAGAAATAAATACAGCCATCATGTTGCCGACAGTCAGTCTTCAACCCGACTGATGGAGCTGCTGTGGGATCATTTTATAGCAGTTGTAGCTTCACAGCAGCTCTGCTGTTTGTTCATGTGTGTAAACAACAGTGTCATCAGCGTAGAGTTTTACATCCACACTGACACAATTATAAAATGACTTGTATATAACAGCTATATGTTTATGTTCGCTCATCTTTGTTTAGCTTTGTTGTCCTTGTTTAGCTGTGTGCTTATATTCATATCTTCCTGTACATTTGTTCTTGGCGCTGTGTGAAAGTATATTGTGAGCTGCTTACAACCTGAGTCAAATTATTTGTAGCTGTCAACTCACATTGCCAATGAAGTTAACTATTTGCTATGAGACCAACCCGAAATCCATAAAAACAAGGATGTTTATAAAACCCAGATGCTGTGATTTTTTTAGTTTATTGAGAAAGTTACTCTAAAAGAATTCTACCACACTCTGCATAATGTATTAAAAAGAGAACAGACAAATATTGTAAATGATAAAATATCTAGCAGACAGCTAATAATTCAGTTACATTTTCTACAAGAGGAAATAAACTAGATGATCAAAATAACACTATACCACAGAATTTACACTCAGTAACTGCAAATATATGTGTTTATATTTTTTTGAAGACTATATCTAACCTGTGCACAACATAACATTTCTGAGTGGTGATCACTGAGATGAATTGATGAGATCTGATGGTGAGAAAAGGCGAGCAGAAAACAGTCAGTCATCATGTGTGCAGCCGGTGGACGGTCCCTTGTTTCTGAGGATTCACAGCAGAGGGAGTCCACAGCAGTACACCAGACTCTTCACTATCAGCACTGTGTACAGCAGCCAGAGCAGCTTCACCCTGCACTGAGACTGGAAGGACACTGACAGACAGACAGAGACATCAGAATATCATTAGTATACTTGGGACCTTCCAGGTGGGACGACGTGAAGACGGGTCGGCTTCAAAGTCCCATCTGATTCTCTCCTTTAAAGTTAAGAACTACAATTAACTTTCTAATTCACAACTAACTACAATTTCTGACAAAGTCCCTCAAGGATCAAACAGAAAGTCTATATTTAAAAAGAAACAGGTTATTATGAGTTTGAAGTCAGACTAGTTGATTTTTACATGCAGCCCTAACTGCAGCAGAACATTGGAGCTGTCTATGCAGAGAGGCAGCAGGTGATCTTACAGTCAGCTTGCTGCAGAGCTGCCAGGTCTGCTGGCTCTCTCTCTGGAGGACAGGAGGCCACCGGAACCTCTGAAACAGAAAAGGAGTCAGAAAGAAATGTCAGTCCTCTGCTCCTCTGCTCTCTTTGACAGCGTCTCCACATGAAGCTGAATCTCTGCTGAACACAGTCACCAAGCCTTCATTACCTTGTTCTGTTTGGGCCTTCACTTCCCCCCCCTCGTGCTGGACGTAGCAGCGGTATTTATATTTGGAGAGAGCGTCCTGATGAATCACTCTGATGGCGGCGGTGCGTCCCGACTCTCTGAGCTCCAGCTGCACCTCCTCAGCAGGTGCCTGCACCTCCTCAGCAGGTGCCTGCTCCTCCAGAGACTCGTTCACCTTTCGTCTTTTCCAGGAGAAGCGGACCAGAGGAGGAAACATGTTTGAGGCCACACACAGCAGGGAGCTCTTCCCCTCATGGTGGGCTCTGGATGCTGCTGGGTACACGCTCACCACGGGCTTCACTACCGGCTCAGCTGAAGTTTGACAGCAGCAACAAGCAGCACAGACACACATTCACACAGTCAACAGCAGCTTCCAGCACTGCATTCAGTCTGATCCTGGAAACTACATGGACTCTGATCACTGAGCTCCTCATCAATACAGCACACAGTTCACTACATGGACTGGATTCACCTTCATATCACACACGTCATGTATAATAATAATATTTATGTTATATGAGGAAAGAAAAGAATTTTACTTATTTAGCAGTTCTACATATGCTGGATTCTTATAATATAATTATGAAATATCCCCTTTAAAAACTTAATGTTTTATATATTAGGGTTAATAAACATATTTTAATAAAGGTATTTTTTACGTTCACATTAAATTAGTTATACTTTTACATTTACTTAGACATTATATATCATATACTTTATTTTAACGGCAAAAAATCTAATTGTTGCATCAGTAATTTCATAAAGTTTTAAAATTAAAAAATTCTATATAAAACACAATTTACATATATGTTCAGATACATGATCGAAAGTCTGATGAAACAACAATACTGTAATATAAGTACATTTTAATGTAACATAATATCAAACATTACATAAGAATCAAAACTACTGTTTACATGTTAGGGTAAAAATACATATTGCACCAAATTACATATTTACTTCACATAAAATAATTTCAAGTCAAGTCACGTACATTATTTATAATTTCTGAACTTTAACCACTCAACAACTAATCAATACATCAATAATGTCTTTGTTTAATATGTTAAATGTGAATAAAGACAGCTTTATAATATTAAATAAGATTCACTATTGACTGATTACTTTTTAATAATGTAATAATGTGATGTTAAAATTATAAAGAACCTGATACATCATTTTTACTACCATATACTTTTGAAAACATGTTTTATAATTTAAATTATAAAGCATCACAAACTATTTGTATTTATATTAAAAGTATAAAATGCAAATATATTTGTGTGAGCGACTTTGTATCACTCTATTTCACATATATAAATACATAAATTATAGTTATTGCAATATTATCAGTATCTGACTGTCGTGATGTAAATTTTATCATTTAAAATGAATAAATTATCCTGTACAACATATTTATAGTAAAATGTCTTTTCAAAAACAATAGACTGCGCTGACTCACTGAGAGGATCAAATACTGTATATTTACAACTTTGTCAATATCTTACTTTTTCCATATGAATCAGTTTTGCTGGTGCAAAAATAAGAATAACTTCAGTTGTGCAGTGAGATTTAAACATCTTTTCAGGAATTATGAACCTTTTTATGTAACAATAGCTGCACGGCTGCAAGAACTCTACTAATTATGAACAAACTAATATTTGAAGCCTGAAGCAGCAGAAACTCATTAAAAACACATTTTAACTTGTTCAATAAAACAACTGAAGGAAAATGTTTATTCTTACCTGTTACATACAGTTTAGTTCCAGAGCCAAAGATGATTTCTCCCACAGTGAAACAGAGTAATACAAAAACCTGTCAGCTGCTGAATGTGTCAGCTGAGGTGAACGAGTCCAGATGATGAACCAGGATCATATTTCAGCTGCATGATGTGTTTCTCTAATGTTCATATCAACATGACTGTCTCTTCTTTTATTGTCTTTTTAGACACACTAGCAGTGTTGCTCTGTGCATGCTGATGTCTGCTGGTCCAGATGGACTGGACCTGGACCAAAGGATGGATGGATTGACATTGTTGTTCAGACATTCTTGGTCCCCAGAGGATTCACTTCATTAATTCACTTGATTCTGACTCTTCAGAAGAAGATGCAGATGTCCAGGCCCAGACTTCCTCTTCTGTGCTCTTGTCATTGTTTACAGTCCGATAAGCAATCTGAGAGCCCATCAGCTGTCATCTGATATAAAAGCTAATCTGAAGTTAAATATTCATCAGATGATAGCCGATGGTTTCTGCCTTATTTGCTCTCCACACGGACTGTTGACCTGCATGCAACCAAAACCAGCTCAGATTTGATTGGTCAATACTATTCGGACTACAAACAGAAACCAGAACACATTCATATGCAGATATCTGTTTACAGAGATTATTTCTGATCTGTATCAAGACTTTAAGGATAGACGGTGCTGTATGCTGTACAGATTGTAAAGCCTTTGTTAGCCGGTGTTAGCATCAAATGCCAACACCGAATCTGAAGGAGAACATCTGGTGGTCCCTTTTATGTTTCTTTCTTCCCCCCAGTGCCTGTAGGTTTCTCTATTAGGTCTTCTTTCACCTACAACTGATCTATCTGATGTTTAGACTCCAATGCTTCGTCATATTGGAATCTCTCACTATCCATGAGTGGTTCTCTGATCTGTGGAGCCAGTGAGTTCTTGTAAATATTCTTGTAAGATTCCCAGAGAACACTGATATCTGCCAGCCTGACGCCTGAGCTACTGTCTCTAACTAATCAGTCTAAGTACATGTGAGAAACACCTAAAGCTAGAATGTCAGAAAACACTTATGGGGTCAGCTAAATTACTCTAAGCTAGAGCTGTCTTACTTTTCCCTGTCACATCAACAAAGCCCCTTAAGAAATATTCTCCACACGTGGCTATGCATAGGCTACAGCGTACCTAAGGAGGAGATTCGACAAAAAACTATACACTGAGCTTTGTGAGGGAAATGAGGAACAGGTGAGCAGGTGGGCGGGGAGGTCAGGTGATGGGAATGGTGGGAAAGATGTTAGCTCAGTGCGGGGGAGAGTGGCTGGATGTGGGAGTCAGGTGACTGAGACAGATGGAAACATCTGAGGACACCTGGTGGACAGGTGGAGAAATGGTAATGAGAGGTGGGAATGTGTCTGAAAGGAAGGACAGAGAGGCAGAATGGAGAAACACAACTGAGTCAGACACTGTGACCCCCCTCCAGTTAATCTGTTCATGTTTGTGTTATTAAGATATTAAGATACACTTTGGTGTGGGTTTGAGTAAGAAGCACTCGTGTTTTGCTCTGAAGTGTTGGCTGTAATTTTTGCCAGCTTGCTGTGTACCGAGCATTTATTCTGTGGAAATAGTGCAGGATAAAACTTTAGCTCTATTTAGTTTTACCCTTATATTAACTTAGATTTATTTTTATGTTCATAATATTTTATTTAACTTCACAGACATCTTAATATTAAAAATTTGTATTGTTTTTAGATATTTTTTTGCACTGAATGTTTTTTGGTATAAAGTTGACTTTGCACTACCTCGTTCCCCTTCGAGGGAACTCGAACTGCGTCGGTGACGACACTATGGGAACGCCTCTGGGCGTGGCAGGGCTGAAACCATGAGTGAAACTACTCCGATCCTATCGGCGTTGCTAGAACGGTAGCGTGTGACGGCGTAACTGGAGGCGTATATAAGCACGCCGGCACACCGGACACATTAGCTTTATTCTATTCGGCAACCACGAGAGGAAATTTCTTACCTGGAAGGAAGTCTGGCAGAGGAGATGGCTGGTGAGCAGTTCAGGCAGTGTGTTTCCCATGCCCGCGTCAACATCACGGCTGGGGACACTCGTGCCCTGTGTGCGTCTTGTCTGGGGATGCCGCACGCCCAGGCAGCTCTCGAGGGGGCCGCTCGCGGCCATTGCGAGGCCCTGCCCCTGAGGGCGCTGAGGTCCCGTGCGGCTCTTTTCTCCGAAGACGGCCGGATGCGCTCTCCCCGTGGCTCGGGCCCGGCGGTCGCTGAGTCGACGCGGCGGCTTCGGTCATGGGGCTCCCAGCGTGACGTCTCCGAGTGCATCGGGACTGCCGAGGCTTTTTCCCGTTCCTCGTCTGCTCGTCTGACAGAGAAGCTACAAAAAGAAATTTAACTCAGTGACACTGACGTTCCTTTTGGTGAAGCTGAAGTTGTTGGTGGGTAAAAAAACAAACTTTGATGCGATGCTTGTGCACCGGAGGAAAGGGTCACCAGAGCTCCACCGCCTTCACAACCAATCTGCAGAAAGGGCCTCCCTCCTGATCAGTGACGATGATGAAGGGGGACATGCCGACGCCCTGGATGACCCAGGTGATGATTAGGTGTAATTCCACATTGTAACCAGCAAGTTTACTGAGGACAGGTAATTAAGCTTTGTTACGTGTTATATAACCATTATAACCTTTTCATAGTGTTTAGCCTTGTTTATTGTCTTTATCCGAATGTTTAAACTAAGTATTTTCCAACATATTGTGGGAGAGAGATTAAAGGGAAATACGCGCAACGTATCCCAAAAGAAAGTTAACCCCTTTGGGGTGACTTCCCCTGAGACCCACTCCCAAATTGACGTCACCACTACCTAATGAAGTCAAATAAAGGGCCTTGTTGTCTTTTGGCTCACCTCTTCTCTAAAAACTCTCTTGAAACTAACCTATACGCTCTCTTAACTTCCTTTACTTTTTGAAATTCCGATTTTTTTCCGTTTCGTACTTAATTTTCTTCAGACGAGCTGAGAAAGCTACGACCCTGAATCCCAATTTTCTTAGCGGGAGTTTTGATTTTTGATTTTTTGTTTGGAGCTGCCTGTTTAATCTCAGCAACATTAAACAGCCGATATTCCCGAGGCCTCGCGAACCTACGGCGAATGTGTGTTTATCAAATCCACCGGTTTCGAACTCAACTCGAAAAAGCCACTGGGGTCGGGCCAGAACCGACTCCACGAGCCAACCGGCATCGAGCCTCGCTACGGGACCTGCGGCAACGGTAGCGGTAACGGAACCAGTAACAACTAATGAATTACCAGAAATTTGTGTAATTCTCAGGCTTTACTCAAGGACCTAAAGCTTTGGGCGGACAAGCAAATCTTTAGGTGGTGCTCCTAGTTTCAAGTCATAAATTAATATTCCCGGAAATATTAATTTTCATAACTGTATTAAAATTATACGTAGCCATGAGATGAGAAGAGATGTTTTGTACCACATTCCAAACCACCCCTCACCCATTGGTGCTAAGTAAGTGTCCTTATCTGATCATGCAGAGACCCCCTGTTTCTGCACCTCTCCAAAAAACACACAAATCAGGTCGAGTTTAATAAATGATAAAGCAACATATAAACTTCTACCTATAAAATACATCAGAGATCAATATAAGAAAACACAATACTAGTGGTTCCCCTGAGTAATACACAAATCATGCTATCATAATCTCTCAGCATGAACGGCAAAAGCTCAGAGAAACCCTGACAACTGCACC